GTGGTGGATTGAGAGTCTATTAGTTTTCTGGCTGCTCTTCTTCCTTATCGAGGGGTGTTTGTCTGTAGTCCTCCTCCGAGTGAGTCGATGAGGCTCTTGGTCTCTCTGCTGGCACTGCTGCTGCTCTTGGTCTGTAGTCTGGAGGCTGTTGAGTGAGCTGATGGTGAGTTGGCAGTGGTAGTGGTTGCAGTGGTAGTGGTGTTGTTGTAGTCCATCTTTTTATCCTTCTGTTGTTGCTGTTGAACTGTTGGATGATATCCTGGTGGGTGGTAGTATGCTATATATTATTATGTAATCTGCTGTTGGGTTGTTTGTTGAAAAAAAAGGGGAGAAGAACTGAATGAGCAAGAGCAGGAGAAGAAAAGAAAAGAAGAAGTTGAAAAGGAAAACAATCAAACTCACCGAAAATGCTGTGAATATTGTATGTAGATCATCTACAGGCTTGTTAAGTGCATACTCGATAATTACATAACTCAATCATGATTATCAATCTGTAAATCCATAACTCTATCGTCCTGACTCCTCCGCATTCAGCAAATCGAATCATTATCGACCGATTCAACATCTGGATGCCCACCCTGGGAATCGGCTGTCGGCTCATCCATCCCCACTCCTTCCCACCCTCAAAAACGATCAAAACACGAGCTCAACAACATGGACATCATCACACAAAAAACACAAACACATGTATTTAGATGCTTTCCTTGTTTATAAGTAGGATTCACCTTCAAGTTTCTTGAGTAAAAAAAAACAGCTGGACCACGTTATTCAAAGTTGTTCGACTTGCTATCAACTCTCCACAAAAAACAAAACACTGGAATGCTTGTTGGAGTCCTTTTATTCATTCATATAGAAAATACTTGTTCTGTTTATGTAACGTACATATATATAATATGAAAACATACATATATATATGGTTCACCTCTTTTGTTTTGTATGATGATATGTGTATATGTGTGTATATATTTTAACAGAACATAACAAACAGTGAGAGAGAGGATCTGAGTCATAGGAAAAAAAACCTACAAACAAACAAAAAGCACACAAAAGAAAGTAAAAGAGAAAAAAAAAATCAATCAACCAAGTACACAACCCTTTTGTTTACAAAAAAAAGGTCAAGAGAAAGAACAGGAAAAATAAAGTGTGAGTGGATATGATGGGTACAAATTAATCAACAACAGTACTTATATACGGCCAGCAAAGAACAGGATTAAGAAAGAAAAGAAAAAAGTACAATGTGGAGTTGGAAGATTGAGGAGGGGGGTTAAGTTCGAATGATTCTCCAAGCGGCACTAGTAGTGATCCTACGAGCTTGAGCAAACGAGATAGGATCTTGTTTCACATCGACAGCTTGGGGCGGGGGATTGGAGGATTGATTGCTGGTAGGAGGATGAGAGGGGTTCTGTTGTTTAGAAGAACGGAGATCATCGGCCGGTTTATTGGCTTGAAGATTAAGCTGATCAAGATGATGATGATGATCATCCTCATCATCTGCCTCAGAATCGCTCGACAGACCACCACCGGCCCAACTAGACGAATTACGATCTTTGAGGGGCGAGCTATGGAACGGTTTCGATGGTGGTGAGGTGGAGGAGCGACTGTGATCTGAGAAGGTCTTCGGCGTGTTGGTCGAGAAGACTTTGAAATCGGAGATCACTTGGCGTGAGGGTGAGGAGGTCGACGTCCGTCTTCGGGTCGAGCCCGTCCCTACCTTCTTCCTCGATGGTAGCGGAAGTGGGTATATCCTGGCGGCTGATGATGATGCTGTTGTTGAGGCGGCTGAATATCGCGATTGAAGATATTTATCCGTGAATCGTGAACCGATGATCTGGTGGAACATCGGTTTTTTTCGATAGCGATATCAGTTAATCAATCTGCCAAATGTAAAGACCGAAAGAAGAACCATTGATTACTCTTTTGAGGTTTGGTTTTGCTGCTTGGATGTCAAATGCATTCGACCAGACTTCAACGTTATGACGAGCTTCAGGAGAATCGCGCTATCAATTTAAGAAAGGGGTTAGTAAATTTGAGGTGAGGTTATAGACAATTAGTCGACTTACATAAATGTCTTCAACGATTAACTGCTTAGTACTTTCGTTACGGAGTAGGAGTTTCTCATGTAATTCTTTAGCGATATCATCCACGCTCTCCTGACCGACAGCAACCCGTTCGGCGACAGCATGGCCGACCTCACGGATAAGTCTCTCCATATCCATCTGTTCAAATGCCGAGCCAACGATCACATGTGGTAGGAGGTTGGCAGTCGTCAGTGGTAACATGGTGGCAGAAGTGATACTCGCAATCGCTCGGAAGAAATCGTTGGAGTAGGAATATCCTGAGAAGGCAGGTTCACATGCTACAACAAACTATTTTGAGAAAACTTCCGAGAATCAGTACTCGAGCGAACTCATTCGGGGAGAAGAGAGAAAGAGATGACAAACTAAGCTAATGCCTGTTTGAGCCATCTTGCGAGCGAGTTGCAGAGGATCGTGGCCGGATGGGTCGCCCCTACTAAAACCGTCTCCGTATTCACCGATTCCCTATGTTCACAAGAAGTAGAGATTAGTGATTGGACCGGGGGACAATGATAGAGATGGAGACACTTACATGAGGAGGAGCGTCGGTGATCAGAACGGCCATCTTACTTGCCTGGGGCCGCCAATCTAACGTCAAGGCCTCATGCATCGCCGCAGTGACCGCTTCCGGTCCATCTCCACCTTTAAATGTTGTGATTCAACTAAACCATGTCAGTCGTTTGTTCGTAAGCTTGAGGTGGAAAGGGGTCAGAATCTTCTATCTCTTGGTGATGTACCTCCTGATGCCCATAGTGTTTTCAAATTTTCCTTGACCGCCTTAGGATTCGAGGTAAAAGCGAACTTCAACGTGACATATGACCTGTTGTGTGATTTTTTTTTATATATTTGAGCAGTAAGATAAGTTTGAGTCATTCTATTTTTTGTTTTCTTTTTGCGATTGTTCAGATTGGCTGGTATGATTTGTTAAGCGAACTGACATGTCCTGTGGAGGGTGATCTCTGTGAGAAGTTATAATGAATCAAAGTCAGCTTGTTTTTTTTCTGGTAGAATATTGAGATAGATAGATTAGGGGAGTAGAAGTTGATGAAGAGGGGTGGATAAGTTCGTACTGACCGATAAGCTATCAATCCGATCCGAAGACACTCAGGTGAAGCCAGTCGCTCAGAGTTGATAATCTCGTCGCAGATCAGTTCGATGTTCTGTGTAGCCGCCTGACAAGCAAAGGATAAGGTCAGCAAGATTCGATGAGGATTGAGAGCTCAAGATTTGACTTACTGTGATGTAGCTACCCATACTGCCTGTGGTCTGGAAGTGAATCAAGTTTTAGTTGAAAGTGTTAGTTCGTATGTTAGGGCACGTTTTGTGCAGAAAAGAAAAATGGAGGGACTAACGTCTAAGATGAAGCACAAGTCGAGCATCTTTTCACTGAAGTCCATGTTCGCTAGTCTGTCTTCCAAGGTTGGCACTGGATCGGATTGCATGGCATCGAGTTCTTCCATCATCTTGAGTGAGTGAGGTGATGTTGTTGTTGTTGTTTGTTTGTTGGTTTTTGGTTTTTTTTGTTGGGGGGGGGGACTTGGAAGTGAAGTTGAGCTCGATCGGAGGAGAACTGCACTGGATCTGACTCAGCCACACCCGACGCATTTGGAACACTGTCACACTCCTCAACACCCCCGGGCCTGCCATCAATCAAGATTACGTAGCCCATCCGTCCACAGTCAGTCCCGATGAAAAACGCACAACGCCACTTCCATAAACTCTTCTGCACGTTGACAGAGACAGATCAAGGGCATGTACATACAGGTACATACATAACACAACATCACATGTCAAAATAACAGTAACAATTTGAATATTCAGGGGTTATTTTTTCTTGATCAACCTGATCACACTTGATCAAAATGTTGCCAACATTTTTACAAAAAAGAAGAAATCCAGTTTTTCAATTCACTGCGCTATCAGATATTTATGTATATTGTTAAAGTGTTACAATCTCTGCTTCAATTTTGCCTGCTATGACTGCAGATGCTTCTGTAAATCTACAAAACCAACTGATTGGCTTTTCAGATTATGTACATATGATCAAAAAACAGGGGTGAAGTTCAGAGGCTGAATGTAGTTTGAGCTGTAATGTTGACATCTCTGTCCATACCCATGTTGTCAACAAACATCAAATCATCCAATCCAACTATGTAGCTATTATTATCATGAGAACAATTAAGAACCTTGGGAAAAGCCCTAGACAATTGGGGGGAGTGGAAAACAAGTCAAGGTTAGAAGGGGAATGACATCAAATCTCTTGTTTTGTTTTGATTTTTGAATCACTCTATTTCCTGGATTGATTTTTGGGAAAAAAGGAAGGTTGTTAGGGTGTACAATATGTCAAATACCAGATGAGAAAAAGCATGAAGTACATACATACACATAGTTCTATGTAAACTGGAGAGGAGAAACAACAACTGCTTCAATGATCAAGTTCATCCTGCATTTCTTAATAAAGTATCCTAAGCTATGTATGAAGTAAAGATAGCAAATCCCTACAAAACACAAATGATTTTTTTGAGACATAATACTTGGCTGACAATTTTCAGATAATGTAGCAATATACTTTGTCTTTGTGTTAGTATACTGATCTATGGTTGTGTGCTCCTACAATGCACGATGTTTCTTGACTTTGACTACTTTTTCTGTTGCCAAATTCTCATGGATCTCACTTTAAAGGATCCAGGAAATGGAGACATTTATGAGGAATATAGGGTATTGGATTACAAATCACTTAATCATGTGGTGAGGAGATGATATGACAGTTGCTCTAGGAACTGATCAAAGGAGTGTGAGCGTTACAAAAGTAGACAAAAGAAAACAAAAGAGAAGTTTATTGAGAGTCCTTTTCAGCCAGTCAAGTTGTGGAGAGAAAGATCATCTGAGGTAGTTTGGTTGATGCCACCAGCCTCGGGTGGGGGGACGAAAAGGCCCATCATAGCGCTCCGGAGCTGACGTTCCCAGACGGACTCGATCTCGAAGCCACCGACCAAGGCAAGGGCATGGTCGTTCATGACGAGTCTCATGGATTCGTGGTCGATATAGCCTGGTTGGAGGTTTGCGTCGAGCCTCTTGAGATCAAACATCGATGAATAGTCGTCCCATTGTCCTAATTCGCCCTCGATATCCGGCCGGTTCGTCTCCTCATTATCCATCGAGCTCGGGTCGATCAATCCTCCTAATGATGGCATCGTCACCGTCGTCTTCGTCGCTAGCTCCGAGGCTAATGTCCGCGCAGTCGCTCTCTTCTGTGCAACCGCCCGTTGTCTGGCTACAAGCTTCTCAGCACTCACGTTCGAAGTTTCCTGTAAAAAGGTCCCCCCCAATGTGCTCATCGATAAATGCGAGTTTCTGGGTGACTGATAGTGTGGAGTGAAAGCTTACCAAACTACGGATCGTCGCCCGTTTGATTTCCTCTTCTTCCCGTCGCGCTTCTTCTTCGAGTCTCAATAATTCAGCCTTGCGCTCTTCTCGCTCCTTCTTGATTGCTTCTTCTTGGCGTTTGCTCAGCTCAGCCTGTCGGGCCTCATGGACTGCATTCTGGGCTATCAGTTCCTGATTCTCGATTTGAAATCGCTTGATCTTCGCTTCTGTCTCAGCTACATCTACTCCATTAATCAAATTAAAAGCTGTTTTTTGTCCACCCCAGATAGAAACATTGTTAGAAACATGTCGATGCCTTGACCCAAAAAAAAAGTTAGTGACTCAACTGATATCTTCTACTTCTTCAAGATAATTATTATAAGCGTCCAAGGTCATAAAGTCCTCTCGGCGTTTGTTAAAACTTAAGTTGAACGATGAGGAGGAGTAAAAGAGTTGGGAAAACAAATAACACAAGATGAGCAAATTCGAAGCTGCATCAAGTGGGGATAACGGGGTCAACTAGAAGAGTATCCACCACTAGTTTTTTCTACAGACGAAAACAAAGGAGAGGAAACTAAACTATTTAGCGATCCGTTTACGGATAACCACTTCCTTCTCGACTGCCAAGTTTTCGAAAGTCTGGGGCGCGAAACTCGCCTTCCTTAAGATTTGTCCACAAATTGGACACGGCTCTGGCCCTAATGAGAAGATCCGATCGATGCATGATTCGCACCTAGATGTCCCTCAAGAGAATTTTCGAAAATAAGATGAACCATCATTAAATTTTTTCATTACATTACTACTTACTTAATTTTTTGGGGGGATATAAAAATAAGACTTACATCTTGTGATAACATTTTGAGACTAATAGACGGAGGTCTGGGTTTAAGTATCTATCAGATTTACAAACTGGACAAACATCGGATTGACACTAAATAAAAATCTCGAATTAGAAGGAGGGAAAAAAAAAAGAAAGAAAAGAAAGAACGCAGGGTGGATTTCTGATACTCACAAAGAATTCGACAATCCTTCCAGCTTGGTCCCGTTGAAGATTACTAGGACCGGTGACAGCCTTATTGTGTAAGGAGCTAGAGAAGGAGTTCGAGTTTGCTAGTGGGTTTGAGGCAGATCCAATCTGGTTAGTGGGCGCTAAGTGAGTCGTCGGTCTTGGTGGGACTTTCTTTCCAAGCTTGGATGCTTGAGCTCCGGCTGGTTTCCTGCCGGACATCGTTTAGGTCGTGGTTTGCTTGCTTGGAGTGTTCTGTGTCGATATGTTTGTGCTGTTGTGACTCTGGTTTTTTGGTTCGGTGGGTGGCAGCCCAACTGCTGATGGTTTTTCTCTTCAACAACATGCGCATTGCAATTTGCAGTGATGACGTAATCATCGTCGAACATGATCGAGTTTCGACATACCCGACCCGATCAAGTCGGCCCCCGGGCTAAAACCCGGCTTCAGCCTGCATTAAATACCACAGGTCAGGAGCCATGGATATGATTGTGTGCTCATTGGGTATTTGGGAAACACAGACAATTTTTTGTTTCGATGGCAGTCTGGGGGAAGCTTAACCTATAAGTTGTTACCGCAGTTTTTCTTTCTATTTCTCTCTTTAAGTTTACCATGCAGCCAGTACCAAATGGTCACAAAAATCTAAACTCACACAAACAAGTTCAGCTTTCCTGGGTGCACGATCACCCCTTGTAATACATGGGTACAGTTTACCCACCAATCAATGATGATCCCATGTTGAGCATCAAATTTTTTGCACTAAATCTTGCTTTGAGCACAACTCAGCCTCTTGTACTGATGAGATTGCTGTCAGTGTCAGCTCAGCCTGACCAGAGAGGCTTACATGTTACAGATCAAATTTGGATTGAGAGAGATGCACTTGATTGGCCCTTTTTGCTACTTTATCCTTTGGCTTGCTCATCCTTTTACTCAAAATTCTGTTCTACGGGATGCCATCCCATCAAAAACTACTATGAGTCCCCCAGTTTTAATATAGAACCTCAAAAGCTAGATTTTCCTGCAAAAATCTAGGCTTTTTGGGTCTAAATTGAAACCTGGGGGGTGACAGACCTAACAGGAAGTTCTCCATTTTTTGTAATTCTTCTTAATCATCTTCTCCATTGCCCTACATATTGTTTATTTTGTATTCCTTACACTTGAATATTGAAAAGAATCAAGAGAAAAAGGGATGGATTTGTTTGTATTTTACTCTACAGGAATAAGTATGCTTATAGTAATGGGTATCAAATATAGGAAATCCACCATTAGAAAACAGTCACTTTTCCCCCCAAAAAAATTGCATCATTGGGACTCAAAAGGGGTTAAATGAATAACCAACATGTTTGAAAAAGGGTGGATTTTTTCAAACCAGTCCATGGAATAATGGTGGATTTGGCTATAATTGACACCCCCCAGTGTAAGTACACTTGGACTCTTTCTGCCATATTTTCAGATTGAATCTCAAAAGCACCAACTTCAAGACAATTGAAAAAAAAATGCAGCAAAAAATAGAGAAAACTCAAGAAGTTGCTGATCTTTATCTACCAAGGCTCAAAAAGAAGACTATTGAAGGTATGAAGAAAAAATTGGGCTCTGAGACCAAAAGGAGATAGAATACACTAGTTTGAGTGGCAGAAAAAGTGCTCATGCTAAAAAAGGTGGTATCTATTATTTATTGATCTCAGGGAAATGGCACAGAAGGCAGATGATTTTCATTTCCAACTTCAGAATCTTATTTATCTAATACAACTGTAAGGAGCCAGGTTGTGGGACAGAAGGGGGATATGTAATTGGAGGGAAAGAAAAAAGAGTGACATGTAGAGAAGAGATGAAAGAGGAAGGGAGATGACACACCTGTGAAATTCCAACATTTATCCATCCCTATAACCTTGAATCCTGCTCACACAGGAATTTTTTTTTAGAATTAAATTTTCTTTGTCAATGGATTGCTTTTTGACAGACAGCCAGAGATTGAGTATACTTGCTTCAACTTTGACCTTTCTTTGCTTGGAGCAAAATTTCTTACCTTCAAACTCAATTAGTAGATTTCTGTCTCATTTTCATTTTGAACCACCAAGCTCACAAGTCTTTTTACTTTTACTTTATTTTTATTTGAGATGAAATCCTACTAATCACACAATCAGTTAAGTTTGGACTCTGCTGCTTGTCACATGACCCTAAAGAAAAAAAAATAACGAAATGTTAATGATGGTTGGGCTGAGACAATTGAGTGCAGTGACTGTTGTTGTTGATCAATCAGCTTCAATAGAAAATTCTAATGAATAGTGTCAATCATCAATTCAACTGTGGTACTAGTTCATCTCAGTCTTTTTGCTTTGTGTAATCATCTGGAATCCATCTGTTGCTTTTCTGAAAGAACATGAGGTTTCAAAACCGATATGTTAGAGCACAACCAACATGAGCTAACATTAAGAGCAAGACACAAGCAAACCTGTGACAAGTGAGTCAAACAGTGATGAGTGAGGCGAATGAGGAACAGAAAAAGAAACAAGTTAATCTTATGAGGAAAAAGGAAAAACAACTTTTAGAAATGAAATGACCCCTTTTTATACACTTCCATCAGATAATTTAGGTTTTGAACCTTGTCTGTCTCACTTTGCGGCAGCGGGGTGAGAATGAATCCCTGGACTGTCCATTCAACATGTCTTGCCTATGAGTATAGCGGTTCCCAAACTTGACTAACTCCCTTCCTGGGTTCAAAGTGCCCCCCCTCCAATGGAGGAGACTTATGAAAGAACAAACTTTTTAGGCACAAGTGGCTTTTCAGAATTGGCAGAAATTTTTAAATTTTCTGAACAACTTTTGAATTATACAAGGTATGGTGGAAAGGAAAACACAAGGGCAGAGGCTTTGACCTTGCTCTTCTCCTCACCAATTTTGGTGGCCCTTATTTCCCTCCTTCCTCCCACAATGGACATCCAAAGATCATCAATTTTGGCTTTTGCTGGCTATGAAATGCATGTCTCTGGGTGGGAAAAAACTAGCAGACCCTTTGGTTTGGTTTTTCAACAGCATGAAGAACCTCAAAAGATACAAAAAAATACTTAAGATGCAGACTAGCTTCTTGGCTATCCATTGCATCCTTGATGAAGAATGTTGGCTGAATTTTCTCAAAGATATTTCCAAGTAAAATGAACCATTTTTGCATAATACCTCTCATGCCAAAAACGCCTGTTCTTTCATAAATCCCCTCCCTGCTGCGGCCAATCGCCTCGCTTTGTGACAGGTGCGTGTGACAGGCGGTGTGATATCTGGGGTGTGTTTGTATGACCCCAGAACATCAAAGCTCGAGATCTGACTGGATGAGAACAACCCAACAGAAAAAAAAAGGAAGAGAACAAAAGACAGGACGAGGAAAATGAACTCAAGACAAACCAACAAAACCATACCATCTCCTTCGAAAACAAGGTCAATCCATGACCAAACCAACCACCACCTCGAACCAGGTATAACAATTCACAGCAAACCCTTGTTTCCAGTCTGGTATCGCAGATGGATCTCTGACCGCCATCTTCTCCTCCCCTCTATGTTTCTCCAGCCCATCCATCGTCTTCAAATCCTGATCGTTGGAAAACTCAGCGTAGGAAGGAGTCCTTCGTGGCTCAGGTCGAGAGGATCAGGGAAAATAACCTCAAACGTCGCGAAGGGTTAGTCAGCATTCCATCCACAAATTATCATTTCCTAGTCAAACTTAACCCCATCTGTTGAATCTGTTTCTCATAGGATCTATACCAAGACATGGCAAGAATTACAAGAAACTCAAAACGCCTTAATGTCCAACCCACCAACGGAGATTAATTACCTAGTAAGATTACATCGGGAATCCTTGAAGCGAGAGCAAGAACTGGTGGCCGTGCGTGTTTACCATGACCATCTGATAAGTGCTACACGAGCGGCGTTTGATGCGGAGGTGAGATCGATCGAGGAGGAGTTCACAAACGCCAGGACGCAGGCGAAGGAGAAATTACTGGAGAGCTTGGAGGAGCGTCGGAAGAAACTCAAGGACGAGAAGGAGCTGATCGATTTTAATGAGGAGGCCGTCGGCCACAGCCATCGTACCCTTACCACCCGCGGCCTGAGGAACCGCTCCTCGAACCGGACCGGCTTCCCGCGTGGCTCACCTGCCCTGGGCGGTTCATCCTATCCTACCAACGGTAGCCGACTCGAAGGCTCCTCCTTCAACAACCCCGACCATCTCTCAGCCGACCCAGAGCTCGGATCCTCCGGCACCGGATTACCGCCCGCCGCCGGCTTCATCACAGCTGATGACCCCTTCTCGATGGCCACCCTCAACGTTGACCCCCATCTACGTCAATCGCCGATCTTCCAGCAACTCCTCCAACTCGGCACTCATAGTGGCTCTCGAAGAGGTGGTCCAGGTGCGCCCCCCGGAGGTCGACGGGCTCCAACAGGCCTGCCCGGCGCTATCTCCCTCCCTTCGATCACCCCGGGTACCTGGAATAACTTCCATAAGAGTCAGCTTGGAATCTGCTCTGCTAAGAACGACGATACCGATGCCGACGTCGAGCAGATCCGTCACCTCGCCGGCCTCCTCTCTCCTAAGAAACGTCGAATGAATAATCCCTCGAATCCTTCAAATCTGAACCAGTCTACCACTAATCCGAATAGTCATACCCTTCATCACCATAGAGAAAAGAGTAAGAAGTAGAACTGAATCTCTGTTGTTGTTGTTGTTGTTGTAAGGTTTTTGTTTTGTTTTATCATTCATATTGTTTGTACAATCTAATGGTGTGAGATGAGCTCACTTTGATATGTCATTCATATATAACTACTACTGCTTCTACTAATAGGTTCTCTCTCAGAAAATTAATCTTATTAGTTTGGGTGTGTAACATGCAACAAAGTCTGATCCACCAATCCAAGAAAACCCGTTCAACAAATTGTAAAAACCTTTAATCCAAATGTGTTCTTTTTTTTTGTCTGACTGATGTTGTACCTGTGTAAATAGAGAAAAAGAAAATGTTTGTCTTCAACTCCTCGTCGTATCTTAGGGCATGTTAATTTTAGCTAATCCTGGATCCTACATGATCTTCGGGGAACGACACCTACCTAGCATCTCTCGAGTCTTTTGCTCCTCAACTTCATTTTCTTACAGCCATCGCTCTGGTCCAATTGTATATCCTCTAGCCAACGAAGGACTTTGTTTTTTATTTTGATAGGATGTACTGTAACTTCAAATAAATAGCTCCGGAAAATCAGTAACTACCAACCCATTATCCGGTGGATGTTTACTGGTTGTTGTGGGTGGGTATGATGCAGCGGTACATGAATCCTGAAGTCTGGTACATAAATGTCTGAAGGATCCGATCGTCCAACCATGTGGATCCTTGAAGCCACTCCGTCCTTTTGCAAGAGTTCTTGTCGATCCCCAACTGCAGCATTCACTTTTCAACCTACCAGGAGTCGTTCAAGCCTCTGAGCCGACCTGTGCAAGATGTCTCGGAGGCTCTCGCATTCGCTCTCATCTATCCTAGCCGGATCCTCCTCGGTCGGCCTCGATCGGCTGGGCCCACTGACCGGCGTGGACCTTGCACACATCCGACTGGCCCTGTCGTCGTCCTCCGCGAACCAAAGGCTTGAAACATCGCCGCTGATCGAGCCACTGGGCCGGGTTAAACGACATGCCGCCGTCCTGCTCGGGTTGTCTAATATTCACAATCATGATCCTGGCTTGATCTTGACGATGCGTTCTCAGAAGATGCGAACTCATCCGGGTGAAATTAGGTTAGCCAAAAAATAACAATTGTAATCTATCATATGGCTCTCTTGACCATCGTCCTTGGAGATCATCTTTTTCTTCAGTTTCCCCGGTGGTCATCAAGATCCGGAAATCGATCAGTCTCTTCTTGGGACTGCCCTAAGAGAGGCTCATGAAGAAGTCGGCTTAACTCCCCAGCAGATCGAGTACTTGGGCTCGCTGGAACCTTTGCTCAGTAACTCTGGTTCCACCCTCGTTTGGCCTTTTGTGGTACGCCGCATGTTTTTTTTCTCCCGCCAAGCTTTTCGTTTTCTATGTTGCCCATCATTAATCTTTTACCATGCCAGTCGCTTACAACAATCTATACATTTTCACATTTTGGTTATTACTCAACTATCTGTCTGTGTGACGCTGAAAGGTGTTTATTCACTCACTTGAACCTCAACCAGCCTTACGAACGCCTACATTGATGATTCCCCGACTGATGTCACGACTGGCTACTGCGCCGCTCCGCTCGCCTGGGCTAGAAGATCTTCAAGGAAAACAACAAGTGGCCGAGGTGGAGCTGGTCTTCCAAATCAGTCTTGCGGCGTTGTTGGAGCCACACAGACAGAGCCCATCCTGCTTTCGCAACGACCCACAGAGGCCCTATTTGGAATGGAACGTCAAACCGGAAATCGAGATCGCAAGGAACAATCTTGCTGGCAAGCCTCTCCCTGAACGTCCAACCAATATTAGTCTCACGCACCACAAGCTTTGGGGTCTTACAGGCTGGCTCATCCAGTTGAGTCTCATCTTTTCTTTTGCTAAGCTGTCGCGCTCCTTCTCGCTCAAGATCAAGAACTGAAGAGTTGTATTTCCTGGTTGATCTCTGTTTTTGACACCCTCCAGCACATTTCTTCAAACGATCCGGCTCCTGTGACTCCTCTCTCCCAGAAATTTTGTTGAATCAGGGCTTCGCAAACACACCTGTCATGTGTTTTCAGGCCTAGCAATTTGGCGCACCACTAATGGAACGCTTCAAATACCTCCTCAGATTCGTCAATCCAATCCATCCATCTGTCCGCCTATCAGAACTTACGTAAATCAGAAGCCATAAAGACCGTCCTTCAACGTATATCCAATTTGCTCTGAAAATTGCACATCAATACTTGACGCAGAACACTGGGTGTAAGATTTTAATGTGACTATATGTCTTACTTTCTATGCATGTAAATATGAAAATCTGGGAGATAATTCGATCATCACATCATGTAACCAATTCCATGGCTTCCCTTTCTGCTGTACTTGTGACTTGGTCGATCGATCCGGTCCAGTTGGCTAGACAATCCGTTCGCGTGACTTGTGTGCCCGATCTTGACCTCTTACTTAATAACTTCTTGTTTCAAGTCCTCAATAAGCCTCTCCATGGCACGTAGGGCTGGTTCGCTTAGAGCCGTTAGAGTCGGTAAGGAATGGCAAGGGTCCAGATCCCGGGCAAAGTGTGGAAGTTGAACTGGTCGGTAATCGAAAAAGTCTCTTTCAATCAATTCTTCAACCACTGCTTTCCCAAGCTCCTCCACAAGGTCGAATATTAGTACAGGTATCCAGGCGAATCGAAGAGAAGCTTGCTGGCAGTGCACTGAGAGCTTCTTCTTCGCTGTATGCCTTGGCCTCGCCAAGAAAGCGGGTTTCCATTTTTGTGTACGCGACTTGCACGAACTGAAAGCGCATAGCTGGAGTGAAGAAACGGTGAATCAGCTCCCTGTTCCTCTTGGATTCATACTTGATGTATCATTCAAATCATACGCACGGTCTTGGAAATGACCATACTCATATACTTGCGGGATGTAGCTCTTGATCAGGAACATTTTACCTCCTGTCATCTTGAAAGGAATAGCAAAGTGCATGGATGCTAGGATTTCCTAGTCTTATTGTGGAAGGTATGTATGGGTGGTTTTCGACCTCATGTCGAAAAACTAGTTCTGCCTCCTCGCGAGGCAGGTCACCAAGGATGAGCGCCTGAAAATAAGTCGCGGAGACACCTAGAGAAGAACGAAAGGATAATGTGAGACACAGATGATTGTGGATGCTTATGGTAAAAACTTGAACCTACGTTGTCGTCTCAGCCAATCAACAAAGAGCGAGTCGGGAGAGGTAAAAATGACGCGCATCTTCCGTTCTTCTGTTGGAAGATCGAAGGAACGCTCCCATCACCTTGGAGATCATGTTTTTTCAACAAATGATGCTTTCATATCATCGGCTAGTAAGTAAGAGACATAACATCGTCGTTCATCCGTTTGAAGACATTTTCTTCGTCGATTATCAGCACGGGGGGTCTTCCCCCGTGGGAAAGTGGCCACGGCTTGAGGTGGCTTCCCAATTCTTTGAATGTTTTCGCCCGTTTAGTGCGGAAGGTTTGATTTCGGCTAGCTTGTCTGGAGGTTTCACCGGAGGTTGTTTTGGACTTGACGAATAGACGCTCATAAAAGACATTCTGCGCCCTCGCAAGACTTCCTTCGTCCCTGAAAGCTTCCAGAAAGCTGCCCTTTGCTCAAGTAGCCACTTCACAGAGGTCGATGGTCAGCGGATGAAACTGGGAACGTGTTATCCAATTAGACTTGGGATGTTACATGTCTAGCAAGTGCCGTCTTTCCCGAATTGGGGGGTCCTAGCATAACCGTGAACTGGGGCTCTCCCATCAACAGACGAGTAAGCTTTTCTACATCTTTAGCTCGATTGTAAAAAGAGTGTTCCAGAATGCGACAAGGAAACGAACTGTGGAGTAGCTGGCAATTAAAGGTGGTTAGGAATCAAGAAGATAAAACACCAAGAGTGATTTGTGCAAGGGTCGTCTGCTCACGTTGGTCCGCGTGCAATTGCTCGCTGGCAACAGTAATCTCAGTAATCTTGAGATGAAATACTCGTAAGGGCATGGTGATGGTTTGGCGGTGGTTAGTTTTGGATGAGGAGGGCTATGAAATACAACGATTCGTAAGGCGATAAAACGAAACGATGGACCTCAACGACAGAAAGAGATGCGTAGATGACTGGGCAGTTGACACACCAGTGGCAAATGTTGGCGGATTTTATATCCGCGAGAGACACAACAAGTGGTGGCGTCTCAGGCTGGTCCAGGGAAGGCCTGAGCCCCCTGCCCCACCGGGTATGAATTTTGTCACCCATTGGAATCACCTTGAAATGTGAAGTCAAGACTGACTCTCAATGAATTACTGGGACAAATCAGAGAGAAGCTGCGAATTGAATGAAAAGTGCTAATGAAAATTACTGAGAAGAAACTAGAGAGAAACTAGGAATCACAAGAGAGAATTAGAATTAAATGTAAGAAATCGCGTAAACATTAGGTGAAAAAAAACGAAGCGGGATGAGTGATTTGGATGTGGATGAATAAAAAAATTTGATAGGATCGAGTAGGACAGATTGAAGAAAATGTTGAAGGCTAGACAGAAATAAATAGTGGGAAAATGAAATAACATCAGAATGATAGTGGAAAAAAGAAAAAAGATCAGAATGAAATCAGTCAGAGGCAAATCAATTATTAGGGCAACAGATAAGAGGGCTGAGGTGGATAAAATTGACTGGAAGCGATTTATATGAGTGGACTAATGAAGGCGGTTCGAGGAAGAGGATGCAGTCGAAGTGTTGGAATGATCTGAAGAAGTATTGTTTGAATCGGTTGAAGAAGAGCTCTGACTTGAGCCCACGGAGGACGATCGGATTGGATTGCGGAATCGCAATGTGTTGGGAATTCTTTTGAGTAGTGTGTTCTTTAGTGTGGAGTTGTCCGGCTTTCGGGTGTCTTCTGCTTCAAGATTACTATTCTCTAAGTAGACCCCGTTATTCTCAAGGAATCCTTCGAGAACTTGGTGATCTTCTTCGTGTGCCGCGATCCGATATTTCCTCACAGCTTTTTTCATCTTTGGCGAACAGTAAGACGGCGATAGACTGTGCGGGTTTTGAGCTTTCTGCGGCTTCTTGTTTTCGACCAGGACGGTACGATGAACTTTCTGTTGGATGATTTTGATTGAGCCTCCCGGGTTTAAACGAGAGATGGAAGACAGCATTCTGGCTGGTCCTGATAGAAATGGGGCCAGTGGTGCCCGAGAATGGCATGGAACGTAGACCGGTTTCGCTTTCTTTTTCAATAATCGACGTGGGATTGGTTCAGTTTGGACGCGAGGAGCTGGCCGTTTATCGGAGCGTATCACAGGTTGCGATGTCAACATTTGCGCCGGCATGAAGCCTTGCAAGGACCGACTGCGATGAGTTTGGACAAGATTGGAAGCTGGACCGCGACCCAGTTGTCGAAGATCAGAAAATTCACTTCCATCAGAACAGACTCGGTTCGAAATCTGGATCCTGCCCGGCTGAGTGACACTCAAAATCATCTGCCTCCTCTCTGCGTCAGCAGCACGAGCAGCGGCGCGAGCAGCCAGATCAGCTTTGCTGCCCGGGTTTTGAGAGTCGACTGGTCGAGCGCGATTATGGCTTTGACGCCGCTCAAGCTGGCCCGGCGGGGAGAGCTTCGGAATCGAACGGCGAGCGAGAGGAGCAAATTTGATAGAGGGGCCGTGAGCAGGTGCAGATGAAGTGATTTGTGATTTTGAAAGCATCGTGTCCATAATTGATGCGGCGACTGGGTGTTTATATCAGTTGGTATGGTGAGCTGCAACAAGCTGCGCGAAAGAGAGTCAAGGGAGAAATTTTAGCAGGTGTTGGTTTGTAGAGAATGATAGCCAATGTAGTGAGAAGATCAAATGGCGTACAATTCTTGAAAGATATCAAACAAAGGATATTATTGTCACGGGTAGGCTAAAAGTGCTGAAGGGGGAAGGCGCTGGCAATGGTTTGCCTTGATATCAGAGACGATTGATGGATAGGTGGGTTTGCAGTGAGGAACAAAGTGGTGGTTTGAGTGGCAGTGGAAGGAATGGAGATCGATGGCAATGTGGGAATAGGATGATGGAAGCATGAAAGAGGCCAAGATGGCCTTCTTTTATATGCGTCATGTGTAGGCTGGTACCTCGGGAAGGCCGGTCAATATCTTGCAGCCGCAAGCCCACTCGCGAAACAGGCACCAAGTTTACTCTTCGCATTTCGCCATCATCAACCAATACCGTCAGCATCCCGGACGAAATCGAAATCTTGAGGCCGCAGACACGCGTTGACGCGACTGGCCCAACCCGCGCTAGGTCCTCTCGGCAGGGCCGGAGCCTCCAAGCCCACAAGGTACACCACGCAAGCCCACTCCACTGCATTGAACTCAGTCTCATTCGGACCACCCAAGTCGCGCAATTCACGACTGTCAATGCACAGTCGCTTCGCCGAGCCGGTTGTCTCTTTTAGGGCTGGAGAGGGACAATGTAAGTGAAAGTAACATTAGCTCTGCCATGTTGGGCGAGTACCTGATATTTCCCTGACGATCATGCTCATAGAGCCGCAAGACTTTACAGCTTTGAGAACGTACGAGTTTCATGTCGGAGAATTTGTAGGGAAAAGATCTATGGGTCACTACTGCAGTTTTCCTACTGTCTCTTCGCACACCGAGTTTCAACTCAGGTCCTGTGTCACAATCCCGCAAATGTGAGCATGGGTGGAAAGAGGTGGAAATTTCGGAGGATGTCCCTTGTCTATTAACCACAATGATGATATTATGTCATAACTTGTTAGAATGACCGCTCATAAAATGGAATTATTATATTTGCTGATTTACAGGCTTTTATAAACATATAACGAATTGATCCAAGTCCATATAAGTCAAATGATACATCAATGGAGTGACTGGAATCTTTCAAGGAATAATCCTTAATACTAGTGTCTAAGGGCGGCTTCGCCGCCAGTTGTCTCTAAAAATGATGCATTCATTTAATATACCCTATGACTTGATACAAAGTAATCTAGATCCATGCATACGATAGGAGCGCCGACCTTAAGCACCAGTTCATAGTTTGGAAACCCAGCAACTTCTAATTTATTCAATTCCTCTATCAATAATGCACCTGTGTGATAAACAGGAAAAAGGAAATAATAATGGTTGAGGAAGTCAAAAACGGATCAAACACAAGAAAGTCAGGGCGGGAGGATGATGAGGCACGCCGCACAATGACAAAAAGGATAGCTTTTGACGAAGCTTTGATTACCAAATGCAAATGTATGTGTTCAGGTTATTGATTGCAAATATTTCAATTGAAATTGATTGCTAGATGATAGGGAATTGAAGTTTTTCATGGAAACAGTGTTGTGTGCATATTGATATGCTTTTTCCGGAGCCTCCCACCCATTCACAGCAATTGTCAGCTGTGGATCTTGTGTAGAGACTAAGCTGGACAGGATCAGTTGTAGTGAGATGTATATTACTACTAAGCAAAGACTAGATATAATAAGAGAGAAAGGTGAAAGAAAAGAATAAGAGATAAATTTTTATTTATTTGTTTATTAGGTTAAGTATTATATTCTTGAAGAATAAATATAGCCGGTAAAGGGGCTGGGACACCTAGGCCTCTATCCCTGGAAGTAGAGATCGTTCGTTCGTACTCGGGTACCTGTTGGTACCTAGGTACCTGTTGAATTTTTTCAGAAAATAGGTACCAAGTACCGCACCAGGCACCTCCTGGCGGGTACCGGCGGTACTTTTGGCGGGTACCGCGGGTACCCCCCCCCCCCCTCTTTTTCTCACCTAGATTCACTCCCACAGTCCCAATTCACTTTTTGTATCTTTTTCACATTTATTATTTTCTCTCCCAGAGTCCCAATTCTTTTTTTTCATTTTTTAGTCACTTGTTTTCATTTTTTCATTTTTATTTATTATTTTTGGTGGTCACTCCCAGAGTTTCAAGTCACTTTTTCATTTTGTCGAAAATTATTGATTTCACTTGACACTGCCAGACAAGTCACTTTTTTTTTTTTTTTTTTTCATATTTATCTATCTACAACTAATAACCAATTGGAAGAATAAAATCTAGAAGAAAAAAAAATAAAACAGAAAAGAAACATCAGCAAAGTGCTGAAAAAAATGCAGCAAGAGTTACCTATAAAAGTTCCAAAAAATTATTAAAAAAAAGCAAAAAAAAAACATCAGCAAGTTGCTCATAAAAGTCCAAAAGGAAAGTTAAAAAACAGAACAATAGAGTAAGAGAAACATCAGCAAGAAGCTGAAAAAAACCATGACCGAGTGTGTATCCTCGGTCATGGAGGAGTCAAATCCTCCATGACCGAGGTGCTTGGTCATGGAGGAGTCAAAGCTAAAGAACCTGAAATCTTATGGTTTCCAAACCAGAGAGTTAGGACACGATCAAAGTGAACTAACGACGAGAGCAAAGAGCAAGCGAACCTTATGGTTTCCAAACCAGAGAGTTAGGACACGATCAAAGTGAACTAACGACGAGAGCGAAGAGCAAGCGAACCTGAGTCGAGCGAGCAGAAAGCAGAAGAAGCGGAGTGAGACACAATGGAGAGAAACGACTAGAGAAATCGAATGATATTTCATTTCTAACCTTATGGTTTCCAAACCAGAGAGTTAGGGCACGATCAAAGTGAACTAACGACGAGAGCGAAGAGCAAGCGAACCTGAAGAGGAAATGAACATGAGAATGAGAACAACAGAGAATGAGATGGAACAGACCTGAGTCGAGCGAGCAGAAAGCAGAAGAAGCGGAGTGAGACACAATGGAGAGAAACGACTAGAGAAATCGAATGAGAGAAATAGAAACACAATGAGAAAAAGTGAGGAACTATTTAAGCATTCGATACAGAGGATCTAGGCTTCGAACCTTGTGTATCTCACTGCCTTGCTTGGCCGCAGTTCCGCAACGGGATGAGGATTACACCTCGGACTGCAAGTTCAACAGCCTCCATGACCGAGGGTGTATCCTCGGTCATGGAGGAGTCAAATCCTCCATGACCGAGGGTGTATCCTTGGTCATGGAGGTTTTCACTCCTCCATGACCGAGGGTGTATCCTCGGTCATGGAGGAGTTAAATCCTCCATGACCGAGGCTACATACGTCGTCATGGAGGAGTGAAACCAGTCATGGAGGTTTCACTCCTCATGACCGAGGGTGTATGCTCGGTCATGGAGGAGTCAAATCCTCCATGACCGAGGGTGTATCCTCGCCGCTCGGTCATGGAGGAGTTAAATCCTCCATGACCGAGGATACATACTCAGTCATAGAGGTTTCACTCCTCCATGACCGAGGATATATCCTCAGTCATGGAGGTTTCACTCCTCCATGACAGAGAACCTTTGTCATGGAGGGTTTCACCCCTCCATGACCATGCCCCTATGTTAGGGATATAAGGCGGTACCCGCAGCGGTACCCGGGTACCGCCTTGTTTTTGCCAAAAAACCGGCACCCGGCACCGCACCCGGCACCGCCTGGCGGGTGCGAGGCGGGTGCGGGCGGTACCCGCCGAGCGGTACTAGGTACCTAGCAACGGGTACCGACGAACGATCTCTACCTGGAAGGCAGGAATAGGATCAATCAGATATGTATTGATGGTGATAATTTTTTATCCAGTCAAGAGACATGGAAGGGTTATTAAAATTGAACCCAATCATTAGTTTAAATTTTTACGTAATTGTTTTATATTTATAATTGTTTAATTATTATAATTGATTTTTATAAGAGTTGAGATCAAGTGGAAAGGAAAAGAGAAAATGGAAACATAATACTACAAGATATCTTTTAATCTTGATCAAGGGAGTGGAAGGCTTACTTCAAAGGATCCGGAGTAGTATATCAGATGTGAAATAGTAATTGTTTTGGGATATTGGTTGAGGTTGATCTAAAGATGGAAAGAATGTAACATGAGTCAATCAAAAATCTTGAATCTCAGAACTAATCTATACAGACACTTATGATAAAGGAGATTAGATAGAATAAGACAATCTGAAGGATTATTTTTCAGATGCATTACACTAAGTAATTACCTTTTTATTTTGGTGTCTCAAAAGTAATTAAGAGAGGCAAGAAGATTTCTTTATCACTGAGGAGGGAGAAAGGATTGTTCCGGTCTCAGGGGTTGAATACTTTGTACCAGTCCTTCTTCCAAAGCTTGGTATTTTTTGCATAGCCTTGATTTGATCATCTTGCAAGGCTGAAGTCATTTTTTGAAGATTGCTTTCAATATTCAAAGAATTTGGTTTTCTTTGATTAATCTTAATTTCAAGAGATCACATATCTGTGAAACCTTTAACATGTAAGTGAAATCTACATTAATTTCAGTATTATTATTTTTGATTTGTTTTAATTTTTTTGTGAAACCTTTAGGACATGTCAACATGTCTCTAAGGTTGACAGCAATCAAGTCCCCGACCCATTCAAGGAGGGCTGACAATTCACTGTCTTAGGAATTGCAACAGTGCTGAAAATATGTACAAGGCAATGCCTTTGTTGCACAGCTTAGGAAGGACCAATCACAGATTGAAAAATGATGCCCGGGGAAGAATCAGAACAAAAAAATGAGAATATTCTTAAGAGAGGGGCAGATTGTTGAAGTTCCTGCCAAACCCAGGGTCAGTGAGAGAATTAATGTCTCTTGCTCCATTTCTAGTAGCGGTACCTGTGCAAGTGGTTGGTTTGGGGGTTTATGTTAAACTTTTTAATCATTCTTCATACCAGGTGAAAATATAAGGAGTTGAAGACTTTTTCAGATGAAAGCCAGTTGGCAGAAAAAATAAAAGTCTGACCCAACCCAGATGGAGAAGAATTTATTTTGGGAGAGTGCAGGCTTCTCTGATGAAAATGGTGGGAAGGTAACGTTAGCATATCAACCCATTATATTTGTGCTGATGGTGCTTCTGAGTGTAGAGTTAGTAGACTATTGGTTCTTTGATACTAACAATGGTTTAGACTGTCTTCAATGTAAAAATGCAATGATTACAAAACAGGTTTAAAAAAGCGTCAAGCTTGTTGAAACAACCATAATTAAAGGTTTTATGATTTATGTTGCAGTTGTGAAATTTGGGCTTCTTTTATTTTCACATTAATCTTTCTGTGGTGGTATATCAGTTTGAAAATTGGGTAGGCCAAACCACAATCAACCCACAACATAACAGGCAGGAAGAATGGGGTTTGTGTACAAGTAGAATATTCTCTGGTAGGGACAACATGCCAAAGCAACAGAGATTCATTGCCAGAACCTGAATAGCACTGGGCTGCTATATTTGTTTGGATAGAAATGTGTTAGTTAGTGACATAGAAGATCTATTTGTGATCCCCGGATTGTTATAGTCCTCTATGTCTGTGTACACCCCTTTTGGCAGGAGAACTGACTAAAAATTGGTGTAATTCAGTACAAATATGACAGGAATTTCAGAAGTTGTTGGAAGTATGATTCTATGCTATTTTTCCTGATTTTTGGTGGGCCCAGCCTTATTCACCCAAAAACCTATACTGAATTAATCTTGGGTTTGGGACACATGTCTCAAAATTTGGCCACAACTTCATCCAACCCAGAATTTACCTTGTTTTGGGTTTGGGAAATTTTATATCACCACAAAAAATCATGGTGCTGACTATCAAAAGATAATTAACATTTTTCCTCTGTACCTGAGGACTACAGGCTCAGTATGCATATTTTTATCTTACTTGGCAGCTGATATATATCCACACTCTTCTCACACTGTGAGTCAGAGGCATGTTTCATAAGCCTGTCTTTCTACAGATAATGTGACTTCTGGATCATCCAGGACAAAAAAAGGAAATGGGGAAATAACCCCTCATTAGTGCTATTTTTTTTCCATTATGGATAGTGACAAGTGTTGCAGTGGAAAAAAACAACAACAAGAACACAAATGATAATCCAGCAAGATAAAAATTACAGGCAAGGTAGCAGCATTTGACTACAAGTACACAATGATACCACAACCTGGAGGTTTTATACCCTGAGAGTTGATTCACACAGCTTTGGAAGATCTTCCAATGTTTTCCCTTCAAGTGGCCAATTAGAAGTCAGAGTTGTGGTTATTCCATAATGGCTATGAAATTAACTTGCTTATAATTACACTACACACCTGATTTGTTTGATCCTTTTGGTGAGACATGAGACATTCCAGTGTTGGTCACAATGCATGATACTCCAGAAATCACTTTCAGATTCTGGGGTTTTCAAGTTGGATGAATTAGATCATCTTTGCAGTCTCAATGATGATCAAAAAAATTCTCTTTCAGTGCACTGGGGGTCCTGAAAGGAACAAACAACATGGATGACCGTGATTGAGAATGTGTGTTCCATCACGGTTGTAGTTAGTTTTTCACTGCAACTGTAAAATATTTGTTGGTTGAAAATGTACTAAGAAGATCAAATCATCAGGCTTCAAGGAATGAACTACTCCTCAGGTTATGGGGTACCAACACGCACATGCAGGTCAGAATCTCTTGAGAACTTCTTATTGTAATTATGAATAACAAATATTATAAGAAACACTAGTAGTACATTATTTATTGTTTTTACACAAAGAGAGAAACCCAATCACGAGCTACAATCAATGATTGTTTTATGATAAAAATTAGTTCAAGAGAGAGTATGTTCTCATTCAGAAGTGCTTTGTCTGGATGTTATTTTGGATGATTTTGTGATTATAGGTTCTCGGACTCGCTTCCAGTCATACTTGGTGTGAAGGGTCTGAGGTTGCAGATAAATGGAAGCTGTTTTGGATTGAGTTCGCCGAGGGCACGATATCGGTTGGTTGGAATCGGATCGCTGGGTTCTGGTTCGATTTACGACGCTCGAAGGGAAGTGGAATCGATTGGAAGAATCCGCTTGTTGCCTTCATCGCGGGATGAGTTGGTTCCTCTTCCCCTTGATCCTCCTCCTCCTCCTCCTCACTATTGTCCAGATAGCCTCCATTGTTTTTGAGGAATCCGGCAAGAATTTTGTTGTCGGCCTCTTGATTTCTCCCTCTCCAGATTTGTATTTACAGGCAGCAAGTCGAATGTCCCGGAACACCACGACGGCGACAAGATGTAGACTTTCTGATTGGCTTTCTGGATCCTGTCCCGATCATCATCTACATCATCACTAATAACGCCAACGCCGAAAGCTTGAAGCTTTTTTTCTCAGCCTCCTGGATTCAACTGTGAGATCGGGGAGAACAGCCTTCCGGCAGATGATAGACATTGAGGTAAGGGCGCTTGTGGATTGATCGGAAGGTAGGGACCTGTCTTGACAGACACAAAAATAACAGACAGACAGTAAATAATTGCAACATGAAGACAGAATTGCGCAATGATCAACACACAAGTGACACTACAGTTGATGTTGCTGCCGGACAACCGGCTGGTGATGAATGAGAATCCTTGGCCGGCTGAGTTCGACATATGCTGATTGGCTCCGAAGGCAAGTTAATGTCGGGGTACTGGAGCCCAAGCTATAGAGTGCGGCCCAACGGCAGACTGCTTGCCCAACGGACCAGGCATTGAAGATTTGTGCTCAAGTCGACTGTCCGGCCGCAGCATCTACGGACCAACCGGCATGGAAAAGCCTCCCGTGATCGTTGCGACCAAGCCTAGAGCTGCCCCAAGCCATCGTGACATGAGACTTGAAGCCGTCCGGATGGGTGCGCGGCGTTGTCCGCATCGGTTGCTGATCAACCGGCATAGCCTCTTCCCATCCAACGTGAACCAAAATACAAACGCCATCGGCTTGGGAGTCACATTTGATCAGTCTTAACTGACTTTGAACAATTGAACTAGGATTGAACCACGCACCGGTTGTCCATCTCCCTTTAACCGATCCGTTGTTGATCTAATCAACATCAGTTCCATTGTTGTCGAGTGTGCAATATGGCCGCTCCGGTGTTCATCTCGGTCTAGGATAGGTCAAAGAGCTGCTGGTAGAGAAGCCTTGGAGTACTTGCAAGACTCTAGGCGGGTGCAGCCATGGTTGGTAAGATAAAAAGGGCGCTGATTGACTCTGTTCCATCTTCACCACCCAGCCATCCAACCCACTCGGAAATCGAACCTTGCACTTGCACCCAGCGCCGAACATCACCAACCCCACTCTCCAACTCGCCAAACTCACCAAAGCAGCAAAAAATGGTTGCCTTCGCCCACCTGATCACTCTTCTGTCTGTGCTTGTTGCCATGTCCCGCGCAGATGAAGTGGCTCAAGCCAAACCCGAACAAGTCGACGACAAATGGTACTATGGGAGATTCCGTTCTGCCGGGTATTGGGGACTGAGCGGAATGTCGCTATATTCAACCTACCCCTCACTCTACACCAGCTACTACTCGCTGCTCAATTCGTACTGCTACGGACTCGGGACTTTTCCTAACACCTACAATTTCATCAATGGCTACTTTGCCAAGGCCACCGACGCTGAAAAATCCGTCAGCAGACGTGCGATCAGTCTTGATGCTGAGCAGCTTGTCCGTCGAGACACTGCCGACTCATTTACTTGTACCGCCCATGGCGCCGCTCCTCAAGCTTTCTCCGTCAAGGAATGCGTTGCGTATGTTAATCATCATCCCCAACATCTCACATTCAATTGGCCCGCTAACTGTCGGCCATTCTACTATCTCTCTAGGGCTGCCCAGCAATTGTCTGAGAAGAAGGTCTCGACAGCTAGTCACGGGGGTTGCAAGGTATGCACAAGCAAATCATGCCCTCTTATTCCATTCCTCGCGTGCTAAGGAGACCGGCCTATATTTGTTTATTCAGGTCGCGCTCGCCAACGCTAAGGAGAAATTTGCCCCGGGACACATGTAAGGAATCGCTCTGTATATCAAATTCATGACCAACAGTTGCCAAAACGTTGACATCATCTTCTTGCTGTCTATCTAGTTCCTCGAAGGACCTCGAGACAGCTGTTCGTAGCATCTTGAGTGGATGCTCCAACGCAGTCAGTGCAACCTTTCCATATTGATTCTATTTTGTTTCTCATAAAAAGATCAAATACTGACTATTTATCTCTTTTTTTATTTTTCTCCTACCAGGAAAACAAGGAGGTTTCTAACAACAAGCCCGAGAAGAACATCGACGAGAAGCAAGTAGTAATGCTCATCACCAAGGCTTGATTTTTTTCCTCACCACTAGCGCTACTCAGCAGGATCTCTTTTTACTTCTTTCTTCTGTCTCTGTCCTGGTTGTATCGGATGTATCGAGTGCTGTTTATATCCCAGAAATGTAACTCCAGTGTGTTGTCAATCTATCAGTTATATTTTCTCGTTTCCAAACCAATCAATCATATGACTCTGTGATTTATCATCTACAAAACTGAGAGGAAAACCGAGCAAGCGGGCTGTTGGCTTGCTTGGCAAATTTTATTGGGAAACTAATTGCAACACTTTCTCGACTAGATTGAGCGCAGTTAAGGGGATTCTACATACCAAGAAAGAAGGCTGGAACCAGCACCGCTCCCCGCGTTGCACAGGTCAAGTTCCAAGACCACAAAGGCCTTCTTGTAGCGCGCAACTCAAGCTGGGATTTTCTTTATCTGCTTTATTTCAACCTAAGATAGATTTTAATAGGGCGGGCATTTTTTCAGATTATTGTAGAGAGCAAGATGAACACTAGAAAGACCATGGAGTATGATCACCAAGTCAAAGTGCTTCAGACAACCAGTTGGTTAGGGAGTAGCTGTTGTGCGGTGCAGAAGTGCCTACCCGCTACCTGGCCACCACAGGTCCGCCTCCAAGAATAAACATGCATAATCCTATAGCAATTTGGCCCATGCTTAGGGAAACATAATACATACATTTCTTGGGGGCCATATCTGTTGACCGCAAGTTGTTTATAATAAAATGTTATTTTATTTTGTTTGAGAAGCACAACTTATCTATTTGACCTGTCTTGACAGACACAAAAATCACACTAGACAGACAGTACCTAAATAGTTGCAACATGAAGACAGAATTGCGCAATCATCAACACACAAATTACATGCTTCTTCTCCAGTACACAACTCAAGTCTGATGCAAATATAGTTCTAACAGCCTCTTCTATTTATGTACACAAAGAACAATATGATGCCTATACCCAACCACCCAGTATATATGTGAAGAGTTTTCTTTGAGCAATGATTGTGATTGATTGATTGAAATCAAAGGAACCTGCCAAAAAGATCAATGATCGAGCTAGGATCTTCTATCCTGATGATGTCATGAAGAGCTCCGCTGAGTCACACTTAGATAAGAAGAGAAGACGACCCACACACCCACAAATCTCACAGCCCAAACCAAACCAAACCAAAAGAAGAGGCCATGTTGAAACTCATACAAACATCACAGGGACAGAGACACCCTCTTTCAATATAAAAAAAGAAGCACAAAATTGTGAAGTGAAGGTTTGTTTGTTTTTTCGGACGGAAAAAGGGGGAACTGGACCAGTGAGGAGAGATCACACGAGATCATGTGATGTCTGAATTTTGGTTTGTTTATTTACATACGGGGAGGTGTGGGATGATGATGATGATAAGGGAAAAAAGAGGAAGAAGAATAAGTTTGGAGGAAGGGATGCAAAAAAAAACCTATATAAAGAAGGGAAGCGGGGTTTTTTTTATTTTTGATGTTTATATCACAAATAAGGTTGAGGGGGGGAGATGAAAACAAAAAAACAAGTGATGATTGGATGAAAAAGAAAGCGATGTGGAGGAAGCAAAAAACAAGACACGGGTGGAACTCGTTGGTTACAAAACAAACAAGACGTTATAGAACGAGGGCTTCAAGAAGCGGAGGGACAGGAAAGAAAAAGGGTGTGATGTTTTTTTTGTTCTTTTGTATAGACCATGATGTGACATGGATGATGCAGACGAAGAAAAGGACAGTAAATGAAGGTGTGAATTTGATGAGTGAAAAAGAAAAAAAAGAAAAAAACCAGCGCGCAAAAGAAAAAGGGATCTTGACATGAAACAACAAACAGGAGCCAGAGCACGCCACAAAAAAATTTAAGCAACACACAAAACAAAAAGGTTGACTTCTCCACCATGCGGCGACATTTTTGATTTAAAATGGAAGAACAAACAACTGAATGGTGTCACAGTAACTTAGGGCGGCTTCTGAAACCCAATTGTCCACTCATACCATCCCCATTGGGAACGTACATAACAAGAGTTAGGATGGTAGACGAAATACATTAAGGGGTGAAGGAAAGAAAAGGAATAAAAATTACAAGTACGTAATCCCAGTTTTGGTCGACATGTCCTCATGTTCCTACAGTGGCGTTGATCGGGTGATGATCAAGCATCAGGACTACCAGACTCCTCTCGAACTCTCTTCAAAGCTTGGTTTCTGGCGAAGATGCTAGCCTTGAGGAACTTTCGGTTAGCGTACTTCTTGTAAACAAATCGATCTTCAAAGCCGTCCGTTGATAGGAATTCAATCAGGAAGGTCATCGGGGTGATCAATTGGGCTTCTGCGTAGCCAGAGTAAAAGATGAATGCATCGTTCTGTGAAGGAGAGTATGATTTTAGTCAGCAATTGATCGATTGACTACGTAGGCAACCTGATTTGACAAACCCAATCAGCACCGAGCATTCGACGGGCAGTGTACATGCCAATGGCAGCGATCATGCTGGACTTGGCTCGTAAGAACCGGTGGTCGAGCAGAGTGAGTTCCATGAGGAACTTGGATAGCGTTCGGGTTTGGATGTCGTAATCATCCGCCTTGGAAATACGGCGGAGCCATGAGTAGGGGGAGCAGTAAGGAGAGATTTTGAAATCCAAAGTCTATAAAAAATAGACAGTCGGCAACGTGAGCAACTTGAATCAGTTGTGAGATTTTCAAGCAAAACGGACTAACCGAGAGGAGGATCTTTTCGCCTTTGAGTATGTCGTCACGAGTGTAGCCGTTTTCAGTCATGTAGACAAATTCTTCGACACTCGGTGCCATAATCTCCTCGTACTTGGCAGCAACAAACATGGCGGTGACACCAACGAGTTGAAACTTGACGAGGCTGACCACGCGCTTGGATAAAAATCGGTCAATTATGTTGACGGCTATCCATAGAGTTTCAGGAAGCATGTGGTATCTCATGTGAACTTGAAGCAACCAATCGATCAAAGTGGTACGCATGTCCCATTCGATTTCGGTTTGCGACTCCATGTATCTAGGGTTGGGCAGGGTAGTTTCCTAATTCAAATGGTTGCAAGATCAGCTCCAAAGAGTTCCAAGAGTGTGGTGCTATGAAAGTACTAACCTCGAGTTGCTCCATGTACTTGAAGATTTCTTCGCTGTACTCAGCTACCATGGTGGCGTCCCAGAAGTCGAGTTCTTCTTGGAAATCTCGTTTGATGGCTTCAATGACTTGATGACATTCCATCTCCTCCTCGGCTGGAAGCATCATCCAATTTTCCCCATGTACATTGTTTACATCATCCTCGACGTTGTTCCTGCATAGGCTGAGTTCATTTTCATCAGAGTTGAAGGACTGAGCTCGAGCTTTTGGTTCTTCAAACATGTGCTCGCGGTCGTTGAGATCTTGCTCGGAAGAACTGGTAAAATCTTCTGGTTCAACGTTTGCAGCTAGCTTTGATTCAGGTTTGGACACTTCTTCGTCTTCAATCGTCATCTGTTCTTCCTTCGGGTCTAAGTTCATGTGTTCATCTCTTGAAGAAATCGTCTCATATTCGTGTCGCGCAAAGTCGTGCGAAACTTCCTCCAAGTCGTCTAGTTTAATTTGATCATCGTAATCAGCAATCACCTCGACTTCATTGAGCTCTTCACGCAAAACTTTGGGGGCAACTGCAGCCCAAGGGTTCGAGGATGAGCTGGATGGCTTCTGAGTAGACTTGCGCTTGGGATTGAGGCCGGTTGAGTTGAGGCTCTGAGCAGATGAGCGGTTCTTGAGAGTTGCCGCTACCTTCTTTCCAGCATTTCCACCAAAGGTGGCAGCAGGTCCCTCCGAGCAGTTGCGAACATTGAGGGAGGAGTCAGAATGGTCCAATGATGCTTGGCTTCCGACTTTGCGTACTTTCGAAGGTTTAACAAAAGGTTTGCTGTCTTTGGCATCTTGATCGGCCTTAGCAGAGATAGCAGCCTAGAGTAATTCAAAAAAGTAGGATTAGGATATTGTAGTTCAAAACATGGAGTGTGGGGTATGAGACAGACCTTCACTGCGTTGCTAACGTCTCCCAGGACCCTTCGGCCGGGAACGAAACCTGTGCCAACGGACGAGGAGGACTTGTGAGTCGAGTCCTTCGAGCTTGAAGGTGCAGCTCCTGATGTTCCAGTGCGAGTCGGTTTGGACAGCAGAGCGGCTTTGGAACGTTGGGGGCCGACGAGTGAGTTGACCGGGGCATTCTCATCAGCTAGAGAGATGGAGCGGACATGAGTGCCACGGCTGTTGGTCCGACGTGGGGCCATTCTGAAAAGTGAACTGGTGGTCAGTTATGGCGGAGCTGAATCCGATAGTGAGTCGGGGCTTACGCGTAGAGGGGTGAACGATCGGGGATAAATTAATTAGGCGAAGGGTGAGTGAGGAGTTGATTGGAATAAAGCAAGATCCTTGAAAGGGGAAGATCGGCTAAGGGAGCGATTGGAGGAATTAGAGAGAAGACAGGGAAAAATGAAGGTAGGGTGATCGAGAGTATCGATGCTGAGGAGAAAGGAGGAAGATTGGAGTATTAGTGAGGGTGATGTGAGACTAAAAGAGTGTCTGGAGTGGCAGAGGGGAGCGAATCAAACGCTCACCCGAAATCAATTACTGATCGGGAGAGAGTGAATGGTGAGGGGCAGGTTGGGAGAGGCGTTAGGCGTTTAATAGAGCGGATGAGGTGATTGCAGAAGGCGCTGCCTGAATGCCGAGGGCCTGAGAGCGCGATTAGTCGAGGATTAAAAAAAAAAAATTAAAATAAAAGAAGCAAAGGGTAAGCCAGGGAGGGCAGGGAGGGGAGAAGACTTCCCGGTCGGGAAGGCACAGAAATAGTATCTTTGGAAGAAGGGACAGGCTGGCCAGGGGAAGGGGGAGAGAGAGAGAGAAAGAGTGAGCGAGACGAGGCAGAGTGGATGAGATCAGAGATCAAAGCACCCGGTTTGGCAATCAAAGGCCCAAAGAGTAGGTCAGAGGGGGAAAAATAAGGGAAGAGGAGAGGGAGGGTGGTGTGGATGGATGAACATGAGCTATTTAGGATCAGCTGCGCCCAGGCGATCTACAGAGAATGGCAGGGTGCTCAAGAAGAGAGAGAGAGGCTGAGGAGCACTTGTTACACTAACCTTGGACAGCGCGCAGTGGTGATTGGGTGGGTGGGTGGGGGGAAGGAGGCTAAGGTAGAAGATATATGAATGTAGTAGGAGGAGGATAAGATTAAATCAATATGTTTCCGCAAGTGAAGGAAAACTTGGAATCAAGTTTGCGAAGGCCCCGGGGGAGGGAGACAGAGGATGATATTTTATTTTAGAAGGTACACATAGAAAGACGAGACAAGACAGTCAAGAATCTGACACAGTCAGATTCGGGAAGGTTCGATTCAGATCAGCAGATCAGCGGGAAGGATGACTGTCTGGCTGGTGAATCAGACGGAGGGCTTTATAAAAAGAGTGAAAGTCATGGACTGATGATGGCTATAGCCGGATGGTCAGGCTGTTAGGTAAGAAACATAGATGTTCTGTCGATGGTTGGCCTGAAAGCTCGATGGGGTGGGATGATGATGGAGATCTAAGAGAGTTGGGCTGAGAAGGGACGAGTGAAGATGGAGACCAGAGGAGAGATGTTGAAGATGACTGACTGGCTGCTTAGCTAGGTCTTCGCGAGGCTTGGAGGGTGATGGCCAACGACGGGAAAAGTGATGGGCGTATAGTAGTGGGTGTGAAGATTTGGGAGAGAAGAGTTGGGGGGATGGAGAGCGAGTGAGTGAGCGAGTGAGGGGAGGATGGAGGATGATGAGGATTAATGGGAGATTGAATTGGGTTTTAAGATGATTATTGGTATTGCAGCGCTGGTGGGTTTTATGTAAAAAAAAAGGACAGACAGACAGCAGAGCCGAGCTCTTGCAGAGTAGTGTAGTACAAGACAGGCCAAGACAGACAGACAGATTCAAAAGAGAGTCAGGTTAATAGGATTCTTGAAGAGAGAGTGAAGACTGGAGATGGGGGTGGAAGTGATAATAAAGGAATCGGATGGGATGGGAGGGATAATAAGGAGGAGGATGAGTGTGTAGGCCGATTAGGGCGAGTCAGAGGATGATGATGGAGTGAGTGCTTGGGATGAGGAGGCGATCGCCCTAGCAGTCCTACTCCCAACTGGAACCGCTCACCTCTCCACTGGCCACTGGCGGTTGAGCTCGAAATTATCTCAGAACGAGTGCTTCCTCTGTGAAATGGAGAGAGCGCGAAAAAAAAAAAAACAAGAAAAAAACAACAATATGTACAAAAAAGATCCCCAAACACTTAACACAAACATACCCCAGCATTAAAACCGATGTTAACCTGCAAAAAAAGAAAGCGCCAGGAATCGTCGTCAAGAATCTCATGATGGATGATAACCCAAATTTAAACCACGTGAGGTTCACGGGAATTAAACATGTACCACCACACTAGGATTGCTACAAGTCTTGGCACCCTAATGTCCTGGTTTACCACATCCTGATCCGGCCACAACCAATTTTGCTCGAAAAAGCTTTCCTCAAATGATCCTACATATTTGCAATCTTGTAAAAAATCACCATATAAGATGCATGTTGTATTGATAAACTGAACTGGTGTGGAGGGATGATGGTGTACATATTTATATGTATAGATACAACAGCTCCTTCACCTTGTGGATTTAGCCGCTCCAGTGTCATCATCATCATCCCTTTGATGTGAAATATAAATACAAATGTTGTTGTTGTTGTACAAAAAAAATATAGCCCCAGAAGCAAGAACACATGTCTCCAATCTCTCATCAACCATCTGCCCTAACAGTAACAATCAGCCTGGAGTTCGTACACTTCCCAGCCATCCATGTATAGATCAAAATCCTGAAGGATGTTCTCTGAATTCCATACATACTTGATATAACATACAACACATTTTTTTTGCCTGTTTTCTTTGTTCTCTTTTGGCAATTCCATATGATTTGATTCATCACCATCCGTATCAATATTTTTTTCCCTTCTATGCAAGTCGGCTAACGGTGTGGATGATAGCCTCCAATACCGTGAATATAGTGTGAGGGACATTGCTGAGGCTCGAGGCCGCTGTCGGTGAGCGAAACATGCTCATCCTCTGCCTCTATCTCTCTCTCTCTTTCTTAATCTTTATGTAGCTCACCACGGAGCTTTTGCCGGCTAGACGATGTCCTGTTTTTTTTTTCTTTTTTGTCTTCTAACAGCCAGCCGCTTGAGCCTGCTTGCAGGGGTGTCATCAGCATGCGGCTCGCGACAGAGGCACGGTCCAGCTTGGAGCCGGTGAGCCTTGGGACGGCTGGGCCATCAGGGCCTGTCGGATCTGCGTCTGACCATCCCCATCCTCTCTCTCTCTCTCGAAATCGTCATCAGGAATCTATGAACTTTACCGGTTTCTTTGTTGTATCTGCAGCAACTTTCTTAATACACTGCAGTCGGCAGCGATCTTTGTTTGGCACTTGTTGTTGTGTGTACAAACTTTTGAAATTCTTGCCAAAAAAACATGGATTCGGCGTGCTGATTAACAAAGCTTCTTTTAGACTGAAAAGTATGTATGTATCAGCGTCCATCAGCACCCTCACCGTCACTTCACACAACTTCTGGAAAGTCTCTCAATCTGTCAGGACTCAGCTCTGGTCGGGTCGTCACTGGTAAACTCGTCGTTAGGGTGATTTGTCAACATGGCAATCTTCTGCCACCCTCTTCCTTCGATTTTTTTTTACGATATGTACCAAACACAACACGTTTTCTGTCGGCGTTTTTCTCCGGATTGCATGGGCCCTTCAAGTGCCGGAATAGCCGTACGTCTGTGACTCCCGCCAGGGTGTGTTTCTATGATCTGTTTCTCTATAGCCTGCTTTGTCTGTGAGATGTATGTATTTACCTGACTTTCTGTCTGTTTAGATATGTGGGCATGGCAATCGACCGAGATACTGATCAGATCTTGATCCGGCGCCCTTGCAGGTTTGTTTGCGCACTCTGAAGATGGTGGTGCCTCTGCTTGGGTTTTCGTTGTAAACCATGGGAAGCATCTAGAAAACAGTCTTGATTGGGACCCGCTTGGGACAGGGCGATTCGGTAAACCTGGAGCTACATCCCATTCCCAACACAGTTTTTAGCCTCGCCCACCCATTTGTGCTACTGACGAGGGTGGAGATACAACTGATTTCAAAGTCATATCAATAGCTCTTCCGATGTATTCACAACCTGTTTAGATCTGTTTACACAGATCCATGGAGGTTGCTTGTGTGTTTGGCGTGATCTGCATAGGGGCTTTGGTGATGATTCTTTCATGTCAGATCACTTGACGACGGCTTTGAGTCAGATCAACAAGGTGCGCAAGTCTACATAGACAGTCGATCACAAGTCACTCGGTCGTTTAGAGGCTACTGTTAGTGCTTATAGGCTGGTCTATCGCATCGTTACTATGTCAGTCAGTGACCAAGTCCAAAGCTGCACGATTTTCGACGTTAAACGACAAAATCACTGATGTCTTGAATCATCCTATCAACGATTGATTCGTAGTCGTGCGGCTCGGAGTCCGGACAGATCTCGCCGGGGTTCCGCGTTTCGCGAACAAATGGGTTCCGCTAGAATCGTAGATCTCGAAAAGACTTCAAACTCATGAATGTGAAGGGCGATGAGAGATGATAGAGGAGATGGGAAGGCAACCGATATGGCACACATGTATTATGGTGATGTACCTACCTAGAAACGTCAAACGTCCTACATAGCAACCGCTGACAAAAGATAACCAGATCCTTCTTGCTTCCGAACTCCAATCTGTCATCCAACACCATCTCTCCCCTTTTGTAGCTGCAAATGCCCGGGCTGACTACCCGGAAATAAATTATAACTTGTCGCATCACTTTGTGTATGTATGGAACGAGGATAAGTGGAGTTAAAAAGTGCTCACTTGGTTTCCAGTTGATCCTGATGGATCGTCAAGCGACCGATTCAAAGTCATCGAATCAACAGGCAATCCACGTGGTTCAGCTAGCATAGGGCCTTTCAAGCCTATGTAAAGCATGAGCTCAAACGCTTCAGGAGGTAAGTCATGCAATTGAATGTGTATCCCCAAAAACTCCAATACTCTCCAAAAGTGTAAAAGCAAGTAAGTTGGCACCATGGCATGCAAGCTCAACGGCAAAGTCACTCCAACCGCATGCTTGGTTTCATGGCGCTCTTTCACAACATTCGCCATTTGACAGGACTTCTCTCCGAGCCGGAAGGAGGTGCCGGACTATCGTTACACAACGCAAGCCGCTTTGGAGAGTTAATGTTGAAAGTGACCAAAGTGACAATCTTGATTTTTGTTGGATGTATTATGTACCGGCGCGCGCGTCAGACGGGTTGAGACCTCGGAGAATCTGAGTTGAAAGTGTACATAGAAACCTTATTTGAATACAAAATTAACGTCAAGAAGTAAAGTAACAGAAAGTAACCAAATCTGTCAATTTCCGCTGTTTTTTTGTTCCTCCGTGGCATCGGGATAAAGAATACGCGACATGAGATCGAAGAATGAAGGCTTGTAGTCGGAGAGACTCGCGCCGATTCAACTAAGAATGCAGCCAGGTAAATATGTAAGCCAACAAATGATTTTATGTTACATACTCAATGCATGTCTCTGAGTCTTGCTGCACGCCCACATCGTGATCCGGAGTAATCACGATTCATAGATTCACAAGCACACCGCCGATCCATATTGTTTCCACACAGAGCAGAGGTTTGTAACGGAGGAGCACTGCTATTGCAGTGTGCAAAGTTGGACAGCGGTAGAGTCGTGAACCCAAGCAACTTTTAATTTGAGTATAACTTAAATATCTGGCTCTATTTCTCAAATCTTACATCGGGGAAACTGCACAGAAATTTGAACACAAACGGAGGTCTCGAATGCGATGGGTTTCTCCACTGGCTCCTTCTCGAAGGATGAGACGAACAGAATGCATTAATAATAATAATGATCAGTTCAGTGAATTAACCATGCCAAACGAAATTAATAGATATATTGGAAGTGACCACGACAAAAGAAAAGCAAATTAAAGAGAAAAAAAGGAAGCCTGCTTGGTCGGGTGATAATCCGATTGAGGTTTGACTGACTTGTGAACTTCTTTGTCACGCTGAGCTGAAGTTTTACGAATTTACGACACAGCTTCACAGCCCTGGAATTGCTCTCGCTGGAGACTGATGTAACCTCGGAGAAAGGAAGCTTGTATTCATGCAGGCCTTCTCCATACGTGCCCTAGCCAATCATAGCTTGCAAGTTGGCTCACACATATTGCTCATATTAAGGAAATGGCAGGCTAAATCATAGAGCAGCGAGTCTACAATGGACCACCCCCATATGCTGTGCAGTCTACATATATTTCAGCATCTATCCCAGAGTTCTGACATTATCCATGTCCAACTGCCAACGGACCTCGAATCCCGAGAGTACTCCTGATTCAGGAAGGTGTAAAATGTATGGCGCAAGTTTGAAGGCTTTTTTTCTAGACCAGTTTACATATTTCTCTTATCAATGCCTACCGGTTGATGCTTCTTTCTGCTCGAAAGAGCTGGGCAGTGTGGTCAAGCACGATTTTAGACCCGGCGCTCTTTTAAGTATGTCAAACAAGTTCCAGCCACACGATTCTGCAGCCGCCTACATAGCCTGGCTGCCGGTCGGGGGGCGAAGTTGTGCACCGCGCCCTGAACAATCTCAAACAGCTTTGAAGCGAAATTGTCAGGCACGGCGGGGTTTGCTCTCTTGAGCTTGCAGCTTTCCTTCACCCGAACTTCGGAAGAGGAATCATCGCGATAATTTGGGGCACAAAGCTGTCGTACATAATGGTACATGATCCTTCCGGTTTATCCCGCAGAGATGATAAGTATGCCCCAAGCAATACGGTCCGCGACTTCGTTATGGAAGTGCAACATATCCTGTACTTACTTGGGCTTTTACCTCGTCACGCTTCCAAGTCCGGTCCCTAAAAGAGAGGATCCTGAGATGTCATCTTGGCTCTGTTGATCATACTAGCTGACCAAGCTCAGTGGAGTACGCACTCTTACCAGAGTGAAACAGCGCGTGATGGCCTACTCAAGTCTCAAGTATATTGTATGTCGAACCAGACGATGCAAACATGTGTTTTGCAGAAAATTTTGAGGAAATCGTTTGCTTTGTTATCGTAGTCAAGGAAAGAACTACTCGAGTTCGTAAATTATCTTCTTCGTGTATTCAGCCGTCCAGGCGACCACGATGAAATGAACTGGTTCCGCCATCACACAATTTCCGAGTTTGATCACTCCTTACCCAACCCAGCCAATCGCCACGGCGGAGGGGTCGATGGGCCTCAGGTGCTTGAGCATGGAAAACGGGAGGGTTGTTATAGAATTGCGTCCAGTTGCTTTTTAGGCCTTGTGTAGGTGGTCGCCGATTTCTCGACTGGTATCTCTTGAGCAACAAGGCATCCTCGCATGGGTTACTGACTGCAATGACTCCCACCTATCGACCAACACGGGCTGGAAACTTTGAGTCTTTGGTTTCAAGCTTGCATGTTTGAGTGCTCACGACATCTGAATGTTGGTTAAACAGAATGCTATAAGAACACGCCCATATTCTCCACCTTCCCAGATCTCCTCCAAGCAAGCAAACCAATCCTAGCTTCTCACACTAATAACTTATTTTTTATCACAAGTATCAGTAATTTATCACAGCAGAATCAGGTACTGGTTACCCTTTCTTCCTTCGCTCCCGTTTAATATTCCAACACATATTTAATTTCTCCATCAATAATAAACATCCGAATCAAGATGTTCACTCAACGCACCGCATTCTTCGTTGCCTTGGCCTGTACTTTCTCGCTTCTGTTGCTTAACGTACAAGGTCTCGCACTTCCATTGAGGTAAGCTCGACCGTTAACAACCTCCTGAAAGGAGTTCACACGTCTAACTAACACACATTTTAATCATTCTTTCTTCGGGAAACAAAGCAGTCAGGCGGAAGGAGCCCATCTCTCATATGCCAAGCGAGCCGCCAATGCCACGAATAGCGCGCCGGTAACTCCAAAGCAGGATCTTCCCGGTTCGACAGGTACCCCGGCCCTTGTCCAGCGCGACATTCCTGCCCCAGTGCTGAAAATGATTGAAACGGTTGGCAAACTCGTCAAGCGGGATTCTCTGGCTGAGCGCGACATTCCTGCTCCAGTGCTGAAAATGATTGAAACGGTTGGCAAACTCGTCAAGCGAGACACTCTGGCTGAGCGCGACATTCCTCCTCAAGTGATGAAAGCGATCGAGACGATCGGAAAACTTGTCAAGCGAGACACTCTGGCTGAGCGCGACATTCCTGCTCCAGTGCTGAAAATGATTGAAACGGTTGGCAAACTCGTCAAGCGGGATTCTCTGGCTGAGCGCGACATTCCTCCTCAAGTGATGAAAGCGATCGAGACGATTGGCAAACTTGTCAAGCGAGACACTCTGGCTGAGCGTGACATTCCTCCTCAAGTGCTGAAAATGATTGAAACGGTTGGCAAACTCGTCAAGCGGGATTCTCTGGCTGAGCGCGACATTCCTCCTCAAGTGATGAAAGCGATCGAGACGATTGGCAAACTTGTCAAGCGAGACACTCTGGCTGAGCGTGACATTCCTGCTCCAGTGCTGAAAATGATTGAAACGGTTGGCAAACTGGTATAGAATCCAATTCTGTATTGCAGGCTTTGTTGCGCACAGCTGGCCTTCCTTCGTCAAGTCATCGCTCTTCATACATGAATAGTTGCTTGGAATTTGTGTGACGGGGAATTTTTCAATTTGTAATCTCACCTCATAATCTTCTACATATAACTAAAAAAACAGCCTCAGAGGGCCAAACAAACTGTCAGCTTTCAATAGGTCTTTGTATTGTTTCTCATGCGGCTTCTAACGCCGGCGTCGATGTTGCACATTTCAATGTCATTTCCAACAACTTTACAATCATAGCGACCTTCAAAATCGAAGGCTATTACACCATAGGACCTTAAACAAGTAAAACCCCCAACATCCGGGGCAAACACAAGCTGCCTCCCCAAATTTGGGGGCATATACTAGTATTATTTATACAAAAAAAGCAATTTGTAGCTCGCTATAGAATTTCCAATTCTGAATGAAACAACACAGACAATTCGTTGAGATGTTTTCTTCGCGGTCCCACTGTGAGCCTCGGCAATATTATGACTTACTTCAAGATGAGCTTGAACGTCCATTGTTGAAACTAACAATGGAAAAAGGCAACGTGTGAATATATCTCCCCACAATGGGCATCATGTGGGATTGATGAAGTTCAATTAGGAGTTGGAGTCTGGAGATGCTCGGTTGCATTTGTGTTGTCAAGAACAGCATACTGAAAACAGTCTTTGAGGATAGAAAAAGACCCTTTAGGTCCAGTCGACCCCCCTGCAGACGCCAATAATGAGTTTGAGGGTCGCTGGTGCAATACGCGGGGCTCGCCGTTGTTCTTCCCATTGACTCCCACTTGATAATTGGGTCGACGAGATAAGTTCACCCCATTGGCCGGAATGATTCTATCTGGGCAGCGGAGTATAGCTGCCTCGTCGGTCGGAAGGGTTTTTTTCCGGTCGAGGAGGTGCATGTTGTTGGCCGGAAGGGCTTCCTTCGGTTCATGACCGGAAGGAAATCCTTCCGGTTAATGAGATACGACGTACTTCGTCGGCCGGAAGGAATCCTTCTGGTCACGCTTGAGTGGATGGCCAGCTCGGTCCACGGTAGGTGTGACCGTGATCTGTCAGCGACTCCTTTATTGATTTTTGAGGAGGTTGATGAGGAAAACTCATGACTCTCAACAATAGCGTTGACCAGCTCAGGACGTCTACCAATGGCCGACACGCCCCAAGCCCGGGCGAAAAATTGTTCGGGGGCCGTTGGTTTGAAAAGATCATTTTTTAATCCTCCATTAACAAGACTCAAGCAATTTTTTTGGTTTCAGCGGTAAACCCCTCCGGGTGGCCCCATGGGAGAGGTACTTGGGCTAGCTTAGCACAAGCCCATCCACTCGTTCGATCTGACATTGCTTGCAAAGAATGCTCTCTCCTACTGACTCCTTTCGGGAGGCGCCTTTCCTCCCCCCTCCCCCCCAGGGTTAGGGAAGCTTATGGCATTAGGGAGTTGAGTAGGTATATACATATGTAGTGATGTTCGGCCTGGGCGAGTGTGACCACTTGGGCGAGCGTGACCACTGTGGCGAGGTGAGCACTTTGATGGGTGCACGCATACAGACATACATCAACATCCTGACCGTCGGGAGAAGCCCTCTAATTTGAGACTGGTGGATGTTATGAAGCGTCATATTGAAATGCGTTTATGTAGTTGCTTTGAAGGACATTGCGTCCAGGCGGCGACCGATAACTTGACTGGTTTCTGTTGGCGAGCAAGGCATATTCCTCGCATCGGTTACTGACTGATGGCAAGCTCCTATCCATCGACCAACACGGCTTGAAAACTTCCAGCCTTCCAGTCTTGTTTACTGGAGAGCGGGCACGACATCCGAATTTTGGACAAACCAAATGCTATAAAAGCACACAAATACTTCCCCTCTTCCAGCTCTTTCTCCAAGCAAGCAAACGACTCCTAGCTTCTCACACTAATAATTTATTTTTCCTCTTCAATAAGTATCAGTAATTCATCAGATAAGGATCAGGTTACCCTTTCTCTCCTCGCTCCAATTCAATACTTGAAGACATCAACACCTAATTAATTTATCCACAACAATAACCACCCGAATCAAAATGTTCACTCAACGCACCCCATTCTTCGTCGCCTTGGCCTGCACTTTATCGCTTCTGTTGCTTACCGTACAAGGTCTCGCACTTCCATTGAGGTAAGCTCGACCGGTAACAACCTCCTGAAAGGACTTCACACGTCTAACTAACACTAATTTTAATCATTCTTTCTTCGGAAAACGAAGCAGTCAGGTGGAAGGAGTACATCTCTCATATGCCAAGCGAGCCACCAATGCCACGAATAGCGCGCCGGTAACTCCAAAGCAGGATCTTCCCGGTTCGACAGGTACCCCGGCCCTTGTCCAGCGCGACATTCCTGCCCCAGTGCTGAAAATGATTGAAACGGTTGGCAAACTCGTCAAGCGGGATTCTCTGGCTGAGCGCGACATTCCTCCTCAAGTGATGAAAGCAATCGAGACGATCGGCAAACTTGTCAAGCGAGACACTCTGGCTGAGCGTGACATTCCTGCTCCAGTGCTGAAAATGATTGAAACGGTTGGCAAACTCGTCAAGCGGGATTCTCTGGCTGAGCGCGACATTCCTCCTCAAGTGATGAAAGCGATCGAGATGATTGGAAAACTTGTCAAGCGAGACACTCTGGCTGAGCGCGATATCCCTCCTCAAGTGATGAAAGCAATCGAGACGATTGGCAAACTTGTCAAGCGAGACACTCTGGCTGAGCGTGACATTCCTCCTCAAGTGATGAAAGCGATCGAGACGATCGGCAAACTTGTCAAGCGAGACACTCTGGCTGAGCGCGACATCCCTCCGCAAGTGATGAAAGCGATCGAGACGATTGGCAAACTAGTATAGAGTCCGACTCTGTATTACAGGCTTTGTTGCTCACAGCTGGCTTTCTCTCCTCAAGTCATTTTTCTTTTCATCATAGCTAGACGGGTGGGTGCATCTTGAAAGAGGAGATCTCTCAATACGCACTCTTATCTGATAATCTTATTCATACCAAAAAAATGCAATTTGTACCTTGCTATATAATTACCAATTCTAAATAAAACACTACAGACAATTCATTTATATTCTTCTTTACCGTCCCAGTATGAACCTTCACAGTTTCATGAAATACGCAAACAGAGCTTGAACAAGTTATGAGAGCGTTCATCGTTGAGAGTCCCGATGAAGTCAACAATTTCACGATGAAAAAAGACCCATTGTGCTAAAACTTGCTCACAATGGCGATGCCATCTCATTGCAAACAAATGTTAGTTACCAGTTGGAGATGCTTAGGTGCAATCTTGTTTCAAGACAATGAAGAAATTAGATATTTAAGCATGTTTCACCTATTTACACTAAGATTTTCCAGAATAAATTTTGACTTCTTTTACCCATCTATCCACATCCATTCTATTTTGAATCCCCAAACCAAATCTCACATCAACTACGGACAAGTCTATGCTTGTCTTCCATGGAATCATCATCAATGATTTCGCTGTTTGCAATGTCTGACTGCATGAAAATTGAAGCTGTCTACTTTGGAATATAGTAGAACTCAAATTGACAATAAATTGGAAAAACCGCTCATCGGTTTTGAAGACTTTATTCCATTTCGATTGATTTTGATTTTTGTAATACAGTCCAAGTATATTAACCACTGCTTGTGCTATAATTAAATCTCCTTGCGATATAAACTTAATGGAATTAGAGTGTCTGCTTTCTTGAGCCTTGTATATTTTCACACTATTATCTGAAAGGACCAAATGGATCATCATGTGGAATATGGTATGATCTCTAATCCCATTGTGAAATGATTGATGTTGGTCAAAGAATTTGATTTTGGTTGGTTGCATCTCTTTTCCCTTTGAAAAATAATACTCAAAAAATCCTTGCACTAACTCTTGCTCATTGTTGTAATCTTTTCCAAATGGTGTTGCTCCTAAAGTCTCCAAGATTTGTGAATTTACTACCCACAACATATTAAATATTCCATCCATTATTTGACAAAACTTTTTCTCAGAATTATTGATAAATATTGATTTTGATTCTTCACAAAAGTTCTTTGTAACCAAAAGTTCAAGATGACTTTTAATTTCACTCCACATTGTTTGATAGTTTGGTTTGAACAAAGTAGGTATTTTTTTCCTTCTTTCTCCATCCATCCTTGCTACCCATGCCCACCATCTTAAATCCTTAATTCTCAAATTGAAGCCATGCTTAGTTTCAAAATCTGTATCCTTTAAATTTTCTTCATCCATGGGAATTTTCTCAACATATCTTCCAATCATAAATCTTGCCTCATGTTTATCTTTTGAAGTGAATTTCAAATTTTTTAGTTGGGAGGAATCCTCCCAAGGTATCAGGCCTTCTAAGCCTTTTCTTGAAATTTCTCCTTCAGATTTCAGGTTAGGCCTATCTAGCCAATGTTTTCCAAAGTGGCTAATTTTGTAAACAAAATTATTGTCATTTTCAAAAAGAAGTCTCCATTTTTCAGGGTTCTTATTTTTATAGTAGAAACCTAGTACATGAATGACTGCTTCATTAATCAGAATTTTTTGCTTTGATACCAGTACATATTTTGACTGGACCAATCCCCTCTTGAAACACTTGTAAACAAATCTTTCTTCAGTTGTATTTAGTGCTTTTAATATCTTCTCATAGATTATTTCTTGCCCACTTTGACAGCATGGACAATCAATCTCATCATGAGAATGTTCTTTGCGCATCAACATGAAGTTTACAAACCACCTCAAGAACTTATTCTGTTCTTGTAAGTATAAATCCTTGGATCGTTCAGCGCCCAAAATCTCTAAAAATCGAAAGTTGATACTCCATAACACAACAGTTAGGTCTTCCAAATTTCTTTCCATATAACGGTCTTGGATGGTTGTTTGACTTGAATTTGGGGGAGAGTGTTCCCCATGAAAAAGATAAGCCTTTGATAAAGAATGTAACAACGGTTCTGCGTTTGCTCTTAATTCATCCCTCATCATTTTTTCCATGCGGTGCTCAATGATCGAAAACCAAGCCCATAAGTAGCTTCTGATTTTTGGCTCAAATTTTCTTGAGAAATTTTCTAAAACAACATCGGCGCTGAATCCTTTGGATCTAACTCCTCCGGGGAAGAGCGCTTTTTCTACTTGAGGCATTGTCATGCCCGACACATCGATTGGGCTGCCGTGGGCTTCATGTCCACTTGCCAAGTCTGCCCATGGGCATTTTTGACAGCTAGAGGGGCTCTCACTTTCTTCTATGCTGTTCTCTTCCCACACACGATTAATATCCAAATAAATCGGAAATTTTTGTTGAGCTGAGCCTACCAAAATGGAAGACTGGTCACTCTTATCTCCTTCCACATTGTTTCTTCGGTATATAACCTATGAAGCTCACTTACTACTAGGTTGAAATACTTGAGATTGATGATTTGATGAACCAGAAAGTGAGCTGGATTCTTGCTCCTCCAACTCAGGTGGAGTTACGTTCAAGTCCCAATCGAACCGTGGCCGTTTTGAAAGTCGATGATAAAGGTTATCATCGCGCACCTTGTGAAACTGTGGTATGAGGGATGCTTGATTTCTCTCTTTGCTCCAATTGTCCCGTAAGAAGGTATAATCTGCATTGTGCGTTCCATCAAGAAATGAATTTCTCAAAACATTCAAATTGTCTTGGCGGCCTATGGTCACCAATACTCGTGGGAGTATCGGCAGAAATTTGACTTACGAGAACTATCCGGGGTTCTTGAAGGTCTTTTTGATGGTACCAATTGGACTGGTTTTTGCTCTTGATGCAGTTTGGGACTAAGGGAGATGTCCAAGGACGCCAAGGGACGTACCATGGGAAGCTCTCGCCCATCCAGGTCTGTTTCGAAACTTTTGGCCAAGTTTAGGATGGGCTCACCCTGAAATGATTCTTTACCTAGGTTGGCTGAGAGGCAATGGAGGTGAGATAAGGCTATCAGCGCGAATTTCCAGAAACTCTCCATGTTATTGAAGGTGTTGTTCGAAATTCAGAGCCAAGTCTACATCTGTCCACATCCTCATAACCAATTTAATACTCTGTCTGTCCCGCAAATGCCGTCCCCCTCAAATTCAATCCAAGCAGTGGATTGTGGGAGTCGCTGTGTGACAACTTTCTCCGCTGAAGGACGATATCGTTCCGCCTTGACTTCTTTCACAGCAAGAAAAGACGGACGCAGTCAATGTATAAGCTAGTCATGAAACGATATGATGTTCTTCAAGCTTTTTTTCCTCTGCTTTTTGATAGGAAATTCAACGTCATGATGCTGCGCAGTTGGCTACTACTCCAAGTTCTAGGATAATACCAGCTTATCTAAATACATGGGGCTATTGAAAAGGAATCTTTCTAGTAGTAGCACATATAAATTTGATACGAAACACGCTGAATAATCGTTAACAGCCAATGGGTCAACAATGTCCCGCCGATCATCTTTTTGATGATGAAGTGGAAACCCACGTCACTGATGCTGTACAACTTCTTTTGCTGGGATTTTGTTTGTATGTACAGCAGTGTCAAACCAACTTTGAAGCAAAAATTCCAAGAGAAATAATTAAATCACCATATACTTCTTATCAATGAATTTTTACAATTTCTGTGAAATCTTTTGAGTTATTGGTTTCGTCCCAACCCGTGAATTTTGACAGGTAGATTCACTAGCACCAAAGGAACGCCTCTATTTTGAGAGAGGGGGGCACTGCCCCGCACGTGACCAATGCGATGGACGAACCGTCTCCACTCCAAAAGTAGGAGGGAGGAACTGTGCTAAGTTATACAAATTCCACACCTTCAATGGGCAGAATTATACAGGCTTTAGATTGAATCAATTCACAGAAAGAAGAGAATGTTGCTGGTGCCTCTTGCTACAACAGTAGCCCTCCTACCCATCGGCACAAAAGAGCCTTGAAGAAGCATCTATTCCCATGTTTACTTAAATTTCCAAGGTGGTTTCTTGGGAAGATTGGAGAAACACGCTTTCCCTTGAGATGCACAATCTGTCAAGATGGGTGAACGATATGCACAGTCAGTGTTTGTGAAAGATACACTGACATCTGACTAGGGCAGTTTGTCTAATCAAGATCGTAGTGATGTCTCTCACAGGGTCAAGGAAATGTTGGTCGGCAATCGATTGATAACAAGATCTATTTACATGGATTCGGAACAATCATATGTATTAATCTAAATCAAGCATTCCATAATTTCCATCTTTTCTTCAACATAGATAAAAAACGGGATGATAAAAAACGTGCTGATTTTCATGTTGAGCAAGTGGGGTTCATTTGTTTTCACCAAGTAGTTGAAAGGAAGTCAAACTTCGACTAATTGATCTTCATCGTCCAATTCATGAATTTGTTTTGTTCCTTGTTCTGATTCATCTCGCATCAAGAGATTGACTAAGCGTTCAATACTTTCCTGGACCTGTACATCGGCAATTTGTTGTTCGATCCCAGTCAATTTTCCACAAAGAAAGAAAAAGAAAATACATGCAAGTCAGGATAAACTGATTCTTATTTGTGTCTATCTTTCACCTTTTGAGATAATGAGGGGAGGAAACCAAAAGATAAGAAGATGACTAAACGTTTTCTGAAGTTTCGTCCAAATGAAGAATCTGAACGATCCGATAGACCTTTTTCTTGCGCATGATTTCACGTTGGAAGGGATAAGTAGCCAAGAGGATGAGAGATTCGACGAGGATCAGCCTGAGATTAGGATCGGTTTCTCGCCGCTTATCAGGGCCGAGGAGCTGACATTCGACGGGAAACTCGTCCTGTTCTTCGGGATCATCCAATGCTTCTGGGCCCATCAAAGGCAAGAGGATCGCTGGTAGTAGGTTGAATCCAGTGGGTGAGAGCAGTTGGTCGTGGACTTCAGTCGCAAAGCAACAGTTCCTTATGTTCACCAAAAAGATGTGGGGGATCCATGAGTTCCTCAGATCAGATTGGTGTTCAGAAAGGGATAAAGAGGGATCTTACTTGATAGCACTAATCACTCCACCTCGTCTGATCAAGCTAGGGTGTTCGGTGAATGGGGATAACTGGAAGAGGGGCGCTTCACTAGTGACAGTTGATGAATGGCTAACACCAACCAAATAATCCCGACCCTTGGGAGACTAGAGAAGACCATCTTAAATTCAGTAAACGTGCTTCCGGTGGTCAAGAGAGAGAGAGAGAGACTGGGGTAAGCCTTACGGCTGAGAGATTGGCCCAGACTGAGGCCAGAAAGTCAAAGTTGGCATGTGGGTTGATTTGTTTCCGGTCTCCACGGGCGAACAGCTCGATGAGAAGGTCCATGAGTGGGCTGGTACTCTTCTTCAGTCGGGCACTCAATGATTCGTCTTGATTGATCGTCGGGTGAGATGTATGAGGTGGGATGGTCGAGCTAAGACAAAGATTGACGATCGAATCTAGTTTGGTCAGGTTGGACAATAGCATGCATGCTAGATCGGCTAGGAGGGAATCATGATCCTAGGAGGACAATGATAGTACGAATGAGCCTCGTGTGATCTTCTTGCCGAATTAAATCTGGGAATCACTGACGATGATCGTGAAAAAGATGACTGAGAGGAAGTCGGGATCGTTGAGTTGTTCTACGACCGGGGCGGTATCCGATAGGTTAATCAATGCTGAGAAGGCATCATGGGCGGTCATCTGTATGTGATGAAAATGTATTAGTATTTCAGTCAAAAGGATGATGCTTTGAGGAACTAAGTCGGATGCATACATGTTGGTCTTCGGATAGCCGTTTCAAATCCTCGATGATCCCGGGCTTGATGCTACCCGGTTTGAGATCTCCGGATGAGTTCTCGGCCGTGGGGAGATTGTTCAGGATTGACCGGGATGGATGGTTGGCAGCGGTGTAGGGTAACAAGCCATGGACAGCCAGCCTTCGAACCTCTGGGTTTCGGTCATGAAGGAATTCGATCAACTGGATAAATTGGAAATCGTCAGATCCTGCTCGGTCTTGATTCATACGCTTCATCCCACACACCCACTTCTCCCATTTCGTCTGCTTGTGCCATCTTGCTTTCGTGGTTGGGCGGAGTTGAATGAAGTTGCTTGCAGGTTTTTTTGTTGGCGGAGTTGGTCGGGCTGAGTTTTTTTTTGAGGCGCATACACCCTGGAATGCTCCGAATGGGTCGGGAAGTTGAGAAATGAATATGCTTACATAATCAACCCACCCACTTCCTGAGCAGCTCGAGTTCATGTCCATTCAATTTCCACCCATCACCACCCACCCGCCCTCATCCGCCCACGACAACTACCCGCAAACACAAAAGACCTCCAAGGAAAACCATCCGTCATGAGCTGCCCATCAAACGGAGTCAACCCCATTGGTCAGTAAGCTCTCATTGATTCAGTCATTGTGATTTTTTACTTTAAAAAAAAGGCTAACACACAGGTTCAAATTATAATAAACAGCTTTACTTTCGGTATCCAACAAGACTGGCTTGATCGATATCGCACAGGGTCTCCACCAAGCCGGACTCAGATTGATTGGTAGTGGAGGTACCGCAAAGGCCGTCCGGGATGCGGGCCTTCCAATCAGGTCACTATCAACTCATCCATCCCTTCCCCCCTCGAAGAAAAAACTCATTCTGAAATTCTATGCGCAGTGATGTCTCTGAAATCACCGGGGCCCCAGAGATGCTGGGTGGCCGTGTCAAGACTCTCCACCCCGTCATTCATGGCGGTAAGTTCTTATTTTCATTGATATTTTCAAGTCGAAGTTTAGCCTCAACCCGGATTTTCTTTCCTAATAATGCTTCCTTCCCCACTACTCAACAGGCATCCTATCTCGACAGACGCCCAACGATCTAGCCGATCTGGCTGCTCAATCTATTCATCCCATCAGCGTCGTCGTCTGCAACCTCTATCCATTTAGCGAATGCATCTCCAAGACTCCCCCGCCGACTATCGAAGAAGCCGTCGAGGAAGTTGACATCGGTGGTGTGACTCTCCTGAGAGCTGCTGCTAAAAATCACGAGCGGTTAGATCCAAATTTTCTTGTGCTCTTGCCTATATCTTCCAGGACCACTAATCAAAACACACTTCCTCTCCCCCTCCCCAAAAAACAACAATATAGGGTTACCATCCTTTGTGATCCCAATGATTACTCCTCCTTCCTTAACCAATGTCAATCAAACGGTATCAATGGCGTCAAGGAAAGCTTCAGGAAATCTCTTGCTGTCAAGGTATTCATCATCTTTTCCACTCGAATCATTCAGTTTCTTCCTTGAAACTTACAACCCATCAACCGCTCGGATCTACCAGGCCTTTTCAATGACCGCAGCATACGATGCCACGATTTCTTCTTACTTTCGCATCAAATACAATTCCGCGGACTCAATTGCCACCGCTCCCCTGGAAATCAAGAATGAATTACGTCAACGAGCCCAACAACTCTCCTTACGCTACGGAGCCAACCCACACCAAGCTCCAGCGCAGGCCTACGTGACTGAGGGAAAATTACCCTTCTCGGTGCTCTCCGGTTCACCGGGGTATATCAACTTACTAGACGCCCTCAACTCATTTGCTCTAGTGCGAGAGCTGTCGGAAGCCTTCCAGCCCCCGATTCCCGCGGCGGCCTCCTTCAAGCATGTCTCTCCAGCGGGTGTCGCGGTGGGGACGAGTGAACCACTGACGGATGTCGAGATCCAAGTCTTTGGGGTCGATGGGATCCAAGACTTGAGTCCGTTGGCCAAGGCTTACGCCCGGGCTCGTGGCGCCGATCGGATGTCTTCTTTCGGCGACTTCTTGGCTCTCTCTCACACCTGTGATGTCTCGACAGCCAAAATCATCTCACGCGAGGTCTCCGATGGTGTCGTCGCTCCTGGATATGAACCTGAGGCTTTAGAAATCCTCAGGAAGAAGAAAGCTGGCAAGTATTGCGTGCTCCAGGTATGCTGAGTTTCCCTTCCCCTCCTACATGCCTGGGTTGCGTCTTTTGAAGCTAGTCTAACATGGAACTTGGACGCGGATAGATGGACCCTAGCTTCCAGCCTGAATTGATCGAACGAAGACAGGTCCACGGAATCACTCTGGAACAACGACGAAATGATGTGAAGATCACGCCGGAATTGTTCAAGGATATCGTGACCGAGGCTAAAGATTTGCCGGCGTCGGCCATCACTGATTTAATCGTCGCGACCCTCTCCTTGAAATACACACAGTCGAACTCAGTGGCGTATGCATTCAGGGGCGGGATCATCGGTCTGGGAGCTGGCCAACAGTCTCGGATCCACTGCACCCGTCTGGCCGGGACTAAGGCCGATCTATGGTGGCTCCGACACCATCCCAAGGTGTTGGGGATGAAGTTCAAACCGACGACAAAACGTGCCGATAAGGCGAATGCGATTGACCTCTATCTGACCGATGCGGTTTGGGATAACGATGATGATGAGGAAGAGGGGGTGATCAGTACGGAACGCAAGGAATGGGAAGCCATCTTCGAGGAAATTCCCGAGCGACTGTCCAAGGCTGAACGCAAAGAATGGATGAAAAAGCTTGATGGGGTGGCACTGGGAAGTGATGCCTTCTTCCCATTCACCGATAACGTTCGAAGGGCCGCTAAGAGTGGCGTCAAGTACATCGCCGCTCCTGGTGGTAGCGTCATGGACCCTGCGGTCTTCAAGGCCGCTGATGAGGCTAAAATGGTCTACTGCAAAACTGGGCTCAGATTGTTTCATCATTGATCATCCTCTCTTTCTTTCTTTCTTTATCCCTCCCGAACCCACTCGATTTGTATTTACATATACCCTATACCCCCTCTTAAACATCTACCTCCCCGCAAGCATCTTGTCTCAAATTCTGAATGCCTCTCTTCCTTTCCTTTCGTTTTACTTTCAAAAAAAAGAAAAAGCGACAAACTTTCTTGTGTTAAAGCTGCCAGTATGTAAGTAGGATATATAATGCAACTCATCCAGGAAGATTCTAGCTTTCAAGTTTCCTACTGAAGGCATGTACAAACTGATCGAGAAGGGGCTGGTCCATCACTGGCAAAGGTGACTGGACAGGCTACTTGGTTGATATGAAGAAGTTCTCATAGACATACCTAACGCGAGTTGCGATCCATGCCGGGCCATTTGGTCGTTGAGTGGCTCAAAAGAAAGGGGGAGGTTCTCGCCGCCACTGTTTCATTGCATGGATTTTTCTGTCGGACGAGTCAAGCTTGGGCACTGCTTGTTGATAACTTCTAGCAATGTAAGATATATTCACATTTATCCTGCCGGCGTTATCATAGCAAAAGGTTATCTCACTTGACTGGTTGAGGTGGCTTCGGCCCCACCAACTCAACCCCTAGGTGATTGGATTGTATCACGCCCCTGTTGCTTTCCTGCAAGGCTCAAGCTGTGCCCGATAAGTTCTCTAATGTTGGATTCGCTTCTTTTAGTTTTCACCATAAGACGGAGCGTTTTTTGTCCCGTCGATAACAAAAAATCCTCACCAAGTTGCAACCACACCTAAAACTCGTCTCTGTTCTTATTTAGTTTCCCGGGATCAGCATTCCTTCCCAGTTTCTTCCTACTCGTGCCAGTTCCATTAAAATTTACACATCTATACATACATACTCCATTGTCCAAATATTGTGTTGTGTCGTCATGCAGCTCTTAAAATCACTCATACTGATGGCAATCGTAACTTTCCAAATTGTAATCGCGGATCAGCAGGATCACCCGAAGACTTTCGTATGCCGTCGAAACGCATACGAATCAGAGGACGAGCGGATTGCAGTTTGCGGCGGAGTCTCCAAAACAGACCCAAAGAAATATGAGAGTCAGTCGGGCGTTAAGCGATTTATCCTCCCTATTAATCAATTTGTAGCCTTATGTATATGAGAACGACATGATCACTGATTGTTCAATCTCTGTCCGATTTCATGGAAATTCCACAGTGACCAGAGCCAACACAGCAGTAGATGATCCATCTGCTCACAATTGCATCGGGGCCCCCTTACAAGAAATGCGATGTTGCCGAAAAAACGCATTCAATTTTCCGCAAAACGTGAGCACTATTCCATCTGAACACTTCTTTCAACTGTCGAAGTTCCTAATCATTTCATGAATATGTCCAATTGTCCATGTAATCCCGTCAATAACCGAAGCACAAATTTAAAACAATCACTGTAGACTTATCAGCAACCGAAAAGAATGAGAATTGTGTTGGAGTAATGCTAGAGGGCGCCTTCGGACTCTAATAGATAAAATTTTCATTCCTGGAACTTTTCAATATATTGCCCCAACGTCCAAAAGCGATCTGCTTCTTGATACACAGTCTGCCTTCTGTCAATTGTCTCTTTCCAATAGCATTCCTTGTATTTCTCTGTGATTGACAATATTACAAAATCTATAAATCCACTGGTAATCCTACTGCACTTTTACATCTGTTTAATGCAGGTAACTGCCACACTTCAGAGCACACCCTCCAAAACATCAGTGACCAGCCATGCGTGTGGAGGGTCCAGTACTCAGCCTTTGTCATTACTTCACCCTCTACCTGCATGTCGAGATGGTTATTGCGATCCAGTTGGCTGAGGAGAGAGATCGAGCGCAGTCGGTGATGTTCGTCTTGGAAGAACTGGCAGTTGGACGGCTCCTCGCCTAGGATGGCCTCCGATGCGCTCAACTCGTCGGTTACATAGTTTTGATTGGCCTCCTGAGAGTCGTTCTACCAAGAAAGAGACCGGTGTCCTAGCTTCGAGGTGGTGGTGGCATGGCTCGATATCTAGTTACTCGTCTCGAAAAAGAATATCTTCACATCTCAACTGTTTATGCAAACAACCGTGTCCGCTGTCTCAGAGAGACCGATGGTTCAAAGTTGAAGGGCAGTTCTGAGCTGGCTTGCTGTTGATCGTGGCCAGACCAAAAACAGTGGAAAAACTGGAACCATCCATCCATTTGACTCAACACAAACACAAACACAACGACGCAACAAAACCCCAACTTCAGCAAGAGTCAAGTGTGTAGAACTTGCAAGCCAGACCCGACCAATAGCATCAAATATCTTCATGTTCTCATTTGAACTACATAAACTCTTTTCACAAATTACCTACCGCGAGTGGCGATCCATACCGGGCCATTTCGTCGTTGAGTGGCTCAAAAGAAAGGGGGAGGTTCTCGCCGCCACAGTTTCATTGCATGGATTTTTCTGTCGGACGAGTCAGCTTGGGCACTGCTTGTTGATAACTTCTAGCAATGTAAGATATATTCACATTTATCCTGCCGGCGTTATCATAGCAAAGGCTATCTCACTTGAGTCCTTGACTGGTTGAGGTGGCTTCAGGCTCAGCCCCGCCCACTCAATCCCTAGGTGATTGGATTGTATCACGCCCCTGTTGCTTTCCTCCAAGGATCAAGCTGTGCCCGATAAGTCCTCTAATGTTGGATTCGCTTCTTCCAGTTTTCACTATAAGACAGAGCGTTTTTTGTCCCGTCAAAAGCAGAGAATCCACATCAAGTCGCAACCCAGCGTACACACCCAAAACTCAAAGTGGTTTCTGTTCTTACATAGTTTCCCGGGATCAGGATCTCTTTGCAATTTCTTTCTACTCGTGCCAGTTCAATTAAATTTTACACATCTACACATATTCCACTGTCCAATTGTGTTGTGTCGTTATGCAGTTCTTACAATCACTCACACTGATGGCAATCATAACTTTCCAAATTGCAATCGCGGATCAAGCATACGATCAGGATCACCAGGCGGTTTTCGCATGCGTTCAAAATGCGTACGAGCCAGTGGGCGAGCGGATAGCAGTTTGCGGTGGAGCCTCCAAAACAGACTCAAATAAATATGAGAGTCAGTCTTGTGTTAACCGATTTATCCTCCCTATGAATCAATTTGTAGCCTTATGTGAAAACGACGTGACTGATAGTTCGATCTCTGTCCAATTTCATGAAAATTTTACAGTGACCAGAGCCAACACAGTAGTAAATGATCCATATACTCACAATTGCATCGGGGCCCCTGTACTAGAAGTGCGATGTTGCCGAAAAAACGCATTCAATTTTCCGCAAAACGTGAGCACTATTCCACCTGAACACTTCTTTCAACTGTCGAAGTTCCTAATCATTTCATGAATATGTCCAATTCTCCATGTAATCCCGTCAATAGCCGAAGCACAAATTTAAAACAATCACTGTAGACCTATCAGCAACCAAAAAGAACGACAATTGCATTGAAGGAAGGCTAGAGGACAACCCTCTAATTATTGGATAGAAACTTCATTCCTGCAACTTTTCAATATATTGCCTCAACGTCCAAAAGTGATCTGCTTCTTGATAGTCCACCTCATGTCAATTGTCTCTTTCCAATAGCATCCCTTGTATTTCTCTGTGATTGACAATATTACAAAATCTGAAAATCTACTGGTAATCCTATTCATAAGGTTGATCACCAGAAGGAATTCTTCCCATTTAGTCATGCTGTGAACTTTCCGCCAGGGGATAGCGGGTATCCGCAACGGATACCCCGCAACCATCTCTACTGTGAAGCTTGTTTGACCCAAGTAGAGATGCCACTTTGGCACCTGTTGGCGGGTACCTGCCACACTTCAAAATACACCTTCAATACCACCAGCCATTCAGGTGGAGGGTCAAGTACTCTAACTAAATCTTGGTCATTGCTGCACACCTACCTGCATAAATAGTGGCTTTTGGTGTGTAGGGAATGATTCAAAATGTGACAGGTACCCCCTAACAGTTACCAAAGTGACATCTCTAGACCCAACTGTTGGAAAATAATTCTAATCAGCAAGATGAATATTCATAGTGACTGTTCCACAGCAAGTCTTATTCTTCCTTCTCAAGTTAGAGGCCCGCCTGTCAGTCTTCCAGCATCAAACTAGTTTTTTGTGTCTTACTCCGTCGAACACAAGCAAGCCCTTAATCAACTTTCAACCTACGTCCCTGATTGCAAGTCCGGATTCCAAAACCCAAACATCAATTTAGATTCAATAGATTCAGGAGGAGCCTAGTTTAGACTCAAGTGGAGGTGCTTTATCTTCTTTCTCTTTGTGTTCATGTCTTTTCCTATTTTATCTATTGATTATTTCTCCTTTTTCTTTCATTGCTTATAACATTGTTATTGACTTATGTTATTCTTTGAGGCTTGTTTGTCATTACATTTCTCCTATTTACAATCTTCTATGAAGAATCTATTTTGGGTTCAAGTAAGGATCTGACATATAAGAAGGTACATAATTTCACTCCTTCAATTATGCACTGGCTTTATTGTTCTTATGACGTTTTCTTTTCATTTATTGATTCTTTCTCAATCTTTTCATTTATTACAGTGTTAACTACTACTAGCTTTAGAAATTAGTTGCTGCAATAAAGTTATCAATCTCAAAAACTTACACCAAGGGTGCTGATCCCTGTTAGTCAGGTTTTACAACCTGATCAACCAGTAGGAATTCCTCAGTGGATCAGGCTGTAAACCTCAATCTGATCAAACTTTCATCCTATCATCCTCCACATAATAATTTGTATTGCTACCAACCTGATTCTGAAATAACCAGTCTTATGTGTTTCATGACTCTTTGATAGTGAAGTATCAGAGAAGCTGGTGTGCATGCTTAAGCTAAATCTTGATGAAAGCTACACTGTTATGATGCATTGGAAAGTGTTAAAACATTGTGAGTATTGACTATATATAATTTAAGCAAAAATCAGAATAATTAATTCCATTGAGATTGCGCCACAACCTGGACTGGTCTATCTTCTTTCCAATCAGTTTCAAAAATTTCATGTACTGTTTTGTGATAAAACTATAGGGTATTGATAGATATAAAATTTTATTGACTTTTGAATTCTAACTTTCCTAGTGAAGTTAATACCAATGACCATGAGCCACCACACACCAGCTCACTTGAAACTTTGCTCAATTTCCCCTGGGGGATATCAATCAAAAAATAGAATATGCAGGATTTCAACATAATTTTTAATTTTCAGTTTATTTACAGACATATTTATTGTACTGCAAAAAGTGCTTTGTGTGCTGTAGCAAACATTGTTACAACATTACGATTGTAATATACAGGCTCTGTAAAAATGATTTGTGCACTGGAAGGAAACCCCTCCCAGTCGACAAGGTACATGTACCTCGTTGACTGGAAGGATTTCCTTCCAGCCGGCGAGAGGTACATGCACCTCGCTGGCGCATGTACCTCGCCACTGCCGACTGGAAGGGTTTCTTCCAGCCGGCGAGGTACATGTACCTTGCCGACAGGAAGGGTTTCTTCCAGCCGGCGAGGTACATGTACCTTGCCGACAGGAAGGAACCCCTTCCAGCCGGTGCCTCGCCGACTTTTTAAAGAGCGGGTATCCGAGGATACCCGCGCGGATACCCGCCAGTGCCAGCGGATACCCGCTGGCGGCTGCGGATGCGGGTTTGGATGCCCATTTCCCTGGAAAAAGCAGCTGGATATCCGCATCCGCGCGGATATCCGGATGCAACGGGGCCATCTCTAGTTCCAAACCTTTCATGAACTGTTTTGTGATAAAACTATAGGGTATTGATATGTATAAAATTTTATTGACTTTTGACTTCTAACTTTCCTAG